CAAGTCGGTGGCCACGCGCGGACGCGCCCCCTCCGCTGCCGGCCTCCTCTGGGGAGGGGCTCCGGGACGCGCTGTGCTCCCGGCACCCCTCCGTTCTTCTCTCACCCCCAGGAGCGGCGCCGGGCTGAGAGGGCCGAACAACAGCGCTTCCGGACGGAGAAGGAGCGGGAGCGGCAGGCGAAGCTGGCGGTGGGCGCCCCCCTCCCCTCCCCGGGCAGCCCACGTACCGCTTCTTGAGCTGGATACTTGCGTTCCCCTTTGTGACCCCCTCTGTGATCCCAAGAAAGTCCACGCTGTGTTATTCAAGGACCTCCCTGCTGGAGGGCTAGAAACCCCAACTCCAGCTGGATTCATCAGAAGGAGGATTTTGTTGGCTGGTGTAACTACCAAGTCTAGGGCAGGGCTTGCTTCAGGCACCCGAATCATCGCTCAGAAACGTGAAGACCCAGCTCTTCCTGTTACCCCTCAGCCTGTCTGTCTGTGGACGCAGGGGTGACCGGTGCAATCCCAGTTTGTCTGGGACCTTCCTGGTCTGAGCCCTGATAATCCTGCATCCCATCAATCCCAGGCAAACCAGAATGGCCACCCCACTGGACACCCCCTTTCTCAGGCAGGCGTAGCAATGGCTGCCAGCAGCCTGGCTTAAGATCCCCTTTTCTCTGTGTTCTGTATGACCCTAGGATGTGTTCAGATCATTCGCCCGTCCCCTGTGGAGAAAATCCCTGGCTAACTGGGGAGACTGGTTAGAATGTGTCCATTGACATAGGCCTTGGAAACGCGACCCACCTTGACCTCAAGGAATGGCTCACTTGAACCACTTTTAAAGAACAGTTAGAGTGATGTGATAGGCAAGGCGCTGGCCTCCCAAAGATGTTCATATCCTAATTCCCAGGGTCTATGAATCTGTCCCCTTACATGGCAGAGGGACTGTGCACGTGTGACTGAGTTAAGGATCTTGAGGTGAGAGCTGACCCTGGATCGGATGATGCTACTCTGCCGGCTTTGAAGGTAGTAGAAGGGGCCAAAAGCCAAGCGATGCAGGCAGCCCCTAGATGCTAGAAAAGGCGAAGGGGTGACTTCTTCCCTTGAGCCTCCAGGGGGAACCAGCCCTGTCACACTTTGATTTTGGCCCGTAAGGCCCTTGTCAGACTTCTGGCCTGCAGGTCTGTAAGAATAACCTTGCATAGCTTTAAGCCACTAAGTTTGCACGTTATAGCAGCAATAGGAAACTAGCTCAGGTGGGAAATGCTGGACATGCCGAAGCCATCATGTTCAGCCTATCAGTCGGGAGGGGTCTTCAGTTTGGAAAAGCTTTATTTCAGAAAAACGCAATGCAGACTTTCTGGAACATGTGAGGCCTTTGCTGGACATTCTAGAATCCCTACCTCAGGCTCAAGGCCATCAGCATCTTCAGTGGCCCATGCCCCACACTCTTAGCCCCAGTTACTCTCCTTGATCTTTGGAGGACAGGCATTCTTGTCTCATGAGACTATGGAGCAGAGAGGGTGAGTGCCCTGAGGTCACACAGCAAAGTTAACAGTTGGCCATTTCAGGTTGGTGGGGAGGTGGGCAGGAAAAGCAAGCACATCCCTCTCCCATTTTAACTTCTGCTGGGAGGGTGTTAAGGCCCAGAGAGGGGCAAAGACTTGCAGCCTGTCAGCAGGCAGGCCTGGGAGGGCCAGGAGGGGACTTTCCCACCTTCCCCCGTTCTGATACTCTGTCTCCCATGCTTTGGGCCTGACTGACACCCACTTCCCTCAACACAGAACCGAGGCCCCTCCCCCACCTCCATCTCAGGCCTCCTCCCCACCCAGTGGGCAGGGGAGACCTTGGGATTGACCCCTTTCTCCCCTCAGGAGGAGAAGATGAGGAAGGAAGAGGAAGAGGCCAAGAAGCGGGCTGAGGACGATGCGAAAAAGAAGAAGGTTCTGTCCAACATGGGGGCCCATTTTGGGGGTTACCTGGTCAAGGTGAGTACAGCCTGCTGGGGCCTGAGGTCTAAGTTCCCAGGAGGAGGCAACGGGGCGTGGACTTCCCTCCCCATGGAGGACGGGGCTGGGCGTGGGGGCGGGAGGCCCGGGCCCCGGGGAGGAGGGGCCCTGGGCCCCCGGGAGCACACACCCCTGGTCCTAACACGGGGAGCCATCCAGAGGATCTGTCCCCCAGTTCACGGTGCCCCCTCCTACCTCAGGCCGAGCAGAAGCGGGGTAAGCGCCAGACGGGGCGCGAAACGAAAGTGCGCATCCTGTCCGAGCGGAAAAAGCCCCTGAACATCGACCACATGGGAGAGGAGCAGCTACGGTAGGTGGGGTGGGGGCCCGGGACGGCGGGGGGACGGGGAGACAGAGGGACCGTCCTTCGGATCCGGAAGGGTGGAAGTCCAGGTCCGGGCCCTGGCCCTGTGACTTCCGGCAGGTGCCTCCCGGTCTCTGGGCTCCTGTTGTCTCCTCTGAGACTGTGTCACTAATACAGGACCCGGTTTTGTGGGTGTCATGACCCATACAATCTGGGATGTAATGCAGTGGAAAGCCAGACAACATGGCTAACCAAAATTTAAGAGATTATATAGATGTATTGATGTCCCCTGGGAACTCAGGCGGGCCCCAGCTCTTGTCTGAATCAAAGCCAAACATGCTGGGAGACAGAGTCCCAGCGGAGTCTCTGCCCCGTGGGACTGTCTCCCCCCTCGTCTCCCATTCCCAGGACAGCCAGCGTCTCACCAGAAGCCACCAGAGGGCTTTTCCTTAAGGGGCCTTGTCTGTCTTGGCATTGTCTGGCCTGGGACCTGGCTCATAAAGTCAGAGACTTCCACCACCCCAGAGAGACACAGTTAACCCGGGCAGTCTAGCATTTGAAAGCCATTAGCTAGCAGAAGAAAACAAGGAATGCTGATAATAATAAATAAAATGAAATAATAAAGAAATAAAAACAATAAATAAATAAATAATAATGCTAGTAATCATCAAATGAATAGTAACAATGAGCTTCATTGAATGTTTGCTATGTGCCAGACACTTTACATGCATTATGTTATTCTACAACTGCTCAGTGCAATAGATTTTCTTTCAGTTAAGAATACATGTAGCCTCTAGTAAAGAGATCTGACTATAGCAGACTAAAATACAGAGGTTTATTTTCTCACATCGAAGAAATCTGAAAGTAGGCAGTCCACCTCTGGTATGGCAACTCGACAAAGCATTAGAGATTCAGACTCCCATGTTTTTACTCCACCACTTTCAGCCCAATATTTCCATCCTGAAAATATGGCCACTGGCCAGTATGGCTGCTGGGGATCCAGCCATCACATCCAAGTAGCAGAAGGAAGTTGCAAGGGAAAAGTAACCAAGGCTTTCCTGGAAGACCCACCCAGTGACCTACTTTCATGGATTGGCAACCCCTGATTTTGCGGCAGGCTGCGGAGATGAGTTTTTCACAGAATTGCAAAAAGTTCCATTTTTAGGGAAGGAAACAACATTCAGCAGGCAGCCAGCCATTCTCTTTCACCGTTTCACTTATAGACTTTTTGGAGAGGGAAACAGGATCCTAGAAGTTACATGGCTATAGTCGCACCCCAGAGAATAACAGAACTGGGATGTGCACCAGCGCTCCCTGACTCGGAGCCTGGGTCCTTCCCGGGACCTCATTCTCCCTCAGGGAAATAGGACAGAGAGACAGCGGGCAGAGATTGAAAAACCCTTTGCCTCAGTTCACTTTGAATAGTTTGGCCTCAGATATTAACCAAGTGGCACCAATACCGCCAACCTCAGAAATGAGCTGTGTGTCTCTGGACAGTCCCTTCAGCCTCAGCCCAGGGCCCGGCCCGGCCCAGCCCGGCCTTGACAGCTCTTCTGCCCTGCCAGGGACAAGGCCCAGGAGCTGTCCGACTGGATCCACCAGCTGGAGTCCGAGAAGTTTGACCTGATGGAGAAGCTGAAGCAGCAGAAATACGAGGTGAGGCCCATTTCAGCGGGAGGCCCCGGCTGGGCTGGGGCTGGAGCAGGACGGTGGGGGGGCCTGCCCCCCAGCTTTCCGAGCATCGTCCTCTCACCTCACCTCCACAGATCAATGTGCTGTACAACCGTATCAGCCACGCCCAGAAGTTGTAAGTGTGACCCCCCCATACCCCTCCCTCTGGCTCTTGGGGTCTCTCCTTCCCGCTCACTGCCCCCCACTCTGCGGGTTTCGGCCCCTCATTCTCAGGACCTCCTCACTCTCTTTCTGCCTGCCGTCTGTCTGTCCTGTTTCCATGTCCCTCTAAGTCAGCGATTCTCAGGGCAGGCGGGGTGACCTTACCCCCCACCCCCCCGATAGTGGGCAATGACTGGGACAGGTTTGGTTGTCACACCTGGGGGCGCAGTTGGCACCTAGGGTGTAGAGGCGGGGGTGCTGGCGCCTACCCCCAGGAAGGGGTGGACCCCAGATGTCACAGTGCCAAGGTGGGGAAACCCAGCTGTAACTCTCTCTTCCGGTTCTGTCTCCCCAGCCTCCTTCCCTCCCTCCCTCTGCTCTCGACTCATCCGTCCTCTCTCTGTCCCTCTGTCCGGCTCTCTCTCTCTCTCTCTCCCATGTTCTGTCTCTTTTGCCCCAGCCTTTGCCCTCTGGCATGTTACCTGCTCTCAGTACCTCATCCCTCCCTTCCTCTGGCCCCTGTACTTGCAAACATTTATCAGCACCACAGGAACAGCCCGAATTCACCCACAAATCCCAGCTCCCCTATGCGAGTGCATTTCCTGTCTTTTCTGGTGGGGATGGAGGGTTTATTTTGGGGGTGGACTTCCTGAATTGAGGACCAAGGGCAGGGGCTGGGGTAGGAGGACATCCCAGAGGCCGAGGAAACCTCTTCTTCCTGACACCCACTTCTCCCACAGCCGGAAGGGGGCAGGGAAGGGCCGCGTCGGAGGCCGCTGGAAGTGAGGGCCTGGAGCTGTGGCCCACTGGGAGCCACTGGACTGTTTGTCCCAACAGTGACCTGAAATAAATGCTCCCCCTGCAGGCATGCACCGAGTTCTTTGATTTTATTACTATTAACACACAGCTAGCCTCTCATGGGTTAACTGACATCACCAACTCGCTCTTACTGGAGAATCTTCAACAATCACTGCCATGCTCTGTCGAGGTGCGCCCTCACACACAGCTGGGGGTGATGTGAAATGGGGCAGCCACTTTGGAAAATCGCCTGGCAGTTCCTGAAAAAGGCAAATATAAAGTTACTGTAAGATCCAGCAATGCCACTCCTAGACTAGAACTGAAAACGTACGTCCACATGATCTCGTGCACAACTGTTGACAGCAGCGTTTTCCGCAAGAGTCAAAAGGTGGGAACAATCCAGAAGTAAAAACCGTAATCAGTCAAAGGGAGAAATAAACCCATTTATTACTTACAAAACTGCAGTCCGGACCATCTCTCTCTCCTGCTCCAGCAGCAGAAAAACCGGCCCTCCCCCTCACCTCTCAGGTACAGAAAAGTCCTCCTTACCCAGGTAATTATGCATTGATATGGAAATGAACGTCTCTCCACCCATGAGGAATGATGCAAATGCACTAAAGCCATACTTTCCACCTCTGAACGCCTATTGATACGCAGATGTACTAAAGCCAGGAGAGAGATTCTGGAAATGTTACAATTTTACCCACAGACTTGCCTTTGAGATTGATTTCTTGGGGTGCGTTGGGGCTCTGCCTAGGAGTATCTGGGGGCGTGGTCCTGTGGACTACGTTTCCCAGCGTGCCCGGGGGCTGTTTGGCCGAGTGCCATGACCTTTGTACGGGGGATTTTTATCTCCCAGCATGCGCTGGGCGGTCACCCAAGGAGGCGGGGACGGGAATCGTCTTGAGTGATTTCCGGGTTGCGGACTCGATTTCCCATGATGCCATGGTGTTTCCCACGATCTAGGGAATCCATTAATCGATTTACTCTAAATCTGTTCTCGATCGCGTACTATTAAGCTCCTTTTAGGCGCTGGGAACCAAGAGAGCACACAAAAGACAAAAACACCTGTCCTCCTGGAGCTTATTTCTAGTTGGAAGGAACAGAAAAAAAAGTCTCAACACAGATAAACCACAGGGCGAGAAGAATGATGGTGGAAAAATTCGAGCTGTACCTTTCAGGGCCGCCGGGCTGCTGAGTCCGTTTCCCCTTGTGACGGGAGATGGGGGCGGTGCGGGGGGCTCCACATTTCCCCCCATGCCGTGGCGCCCGCCTCCAGCCCAGAGACTCCATTTCCCAGGGTTCTCAGATAAATGCCCTCCCTCAGGAGAGGTCGTTCACCGCCTCCCGGCTGCGGACTTCCCAGCGTGCCTCGGGGCAGATCGAGGGCCGGAGGTTGCCATTAGCAACTTCCTCCTTCGGACTCCGTTTCCCAGCGCACTCCGGGGCGGCGTGGTGACGTCGCGCGCTGGGCGGGGCTGCGATCCTCCGGCGGCTTGGGGCCAGCGGCAGTTCCCGGTGGCCCGGGCGGGCGGCGGCGGCGGTGGTACGGTGCTCGGCCCTCGCTCGCTCGCTACCTCCCGGGTGGCGGGCGGCGCGATGTCGGGCGAGGACGGCTCGGGGGCGAGCCCGGGGGTGGCCGCGGCGGCGGCGCGTGAGCGGCGGCGGGAGCAGCTGCGACAGTGGGGGGCGCGGGCGGGCGCCGAGCCGGGCCCGAGGGAGCGGCGCGCCCGCACCGTGCGCTTCGAGCGCGCCGCCGAGTTTTTGGCGGCTTGCGCGGGCGGCGACCTGGATGAGGCGCGCCTGATGCTGCGAGCAGCGGATCCTGGCCCCGGCGCCGACCCCGACCCCGCTGCCCCGCCGCCCGCCCGTGCGGTGCTCGACTCCACCAACGCCGACGGCATCAGCGCCCTGCACCAGGTCAGCGTCCCTGGGACCGACCCGCCCTGGTCTGCGCCACCGCGAGCATCCTCCCCGCAGCCCTGAGTCACCGTCGGGGCTCTGTCTGCACCGTGCTTGCCGTCCGGTGCTGACCCCTCTCCGAGCCCCCTGCGCATCCCCACCAGTCCTGAGCCGCTTAGGCTGCCCCTCCCTGGACTCGAGCCGTTGCTGAGGGCCTCAGTCCGGTTCATCTCACTGGTCCTGATTATTGTTACTTCACGCTGCCCTCTCCCGACCCTAAGTGCCCTTTACTAGTCTCTGTGCCACCTGCCCTGGTGCCACCTCTACTCTGCCGTGTAATGCCGCCACCTTTTCCTGAGGCCGTGCCACACACTTGTGACCCCCGCCCCCAACAAACACAGTTTCCCCTTTCCAGGCAGGGACCCCTTTCCAGGCCTGGCTGCTTCCTCCCCTGGCCTCCCGCCCGGGCGCCCTCTTTGGCTAGGCCCTGGTCCTCCTGTGCCCCTGCTGGCAGGTTCCCTCTCCCCACTTCTCAGCCTTACTCAGACAGCCATCTGTTGCTGTCTAAAGCTCCTCTTCGATGAGCAACTTTCTTCTAGGCATCGGACAGCCTTGTTTCCTTGTCTGGGTCCTCTCTTTAGGGGTCCTCTCCCCGACCTCCTCCCATGCCCTCCTAATCCGGCTGGTTCCCTCTTTACCCTCTGGGTCCTGTGCCACCTCTCACCTCCCACTGTAGGTCTTCTCTCAGAAATGTTTTGCCTTCTCTCAGCACCTCCTCTTTTCCTCTCCTCTTCCTGGGCTGGTTTTGCATCATCACCCTTTTGTGGGGGAACTTCAGGGCACCCCCCTCTTCCTGGCCTTGGGCCACTTCTCTGTCCTCTGGTCATCCCGCTTTCCCTGCCAGGAGGCCTCCTCCTCCGTGGATTTGGGTCATTTCTTACTCCTCTCATTTGGGCAGCTTCGTTGTCTTGTACACTGTGCCATCTCTCCTAGTCCCCTGTTGTGCCGCCTTCCTAAAGTTTCTAGAACCCTTGGTCCTCCCCGTCCATAACCTGGCCCCTGTGCCTTCCAAGGCTTGCTGCCTGCTGCCTGCAGTGTTCCTGTGTCCCAGAACCGTGGGCACCCTGTGCTCTGGGTTTCCCTGCTTCTGGGTGCTTTTCTTCACTCCCCCCTCAACACACACACAGTGGGACCACCAGGAACAGGACTGGCCACTGAAGGGCCTCCATCCCCTCCCCACCCCTGAGGCCGTCTCCCTCCAGGTTTCCTGATATCTGCCCATCCTTAGCCCTCTCCTTCCTGCCAGACCCCTAGAGTTTGGTTATCGGTGGAGCCAGGGCAGGAAAGCTTGAAGGGCCCACTTCTCAGGTTCCCAGGAAGGAGTGGTTCAGGAAAAACAGAATTAGCCCTAAGTTCTGAACTTCTCAGCTTTGTGACCTAGCTAGTGTCTTTTTTTCTTTGCCTCAGTTTCCTTAGCTGTAAAATGGGGCCTCTAGCCATCCCCTCTCTGGCAGGTCACCTGCAGAGTCCCCAGTCCTATAGGGGACACTGTCTTCCATCCAGAGGACGGTCCTGCTTCCCTCGGGCCTTGAAGGTTCTGAGTCCTTGGCGAGGCCAGGAGAGGGGCCTCAGGCTGCAGTGTACCCCTTCCTCTGCCAGTGTCCATGCCCCTGGACCTTCCTTAAGGGCTTCCTGCCCTGCTCCTCACGCCAGGCCTCCTCCTCCAGCATCCCCCTTGGCCTGGACCCCTGCCAGGCTGCGTTTTCCCATGGGATCTTGGTCCCACTACGGGCAAGCACTTGATAAACTCCAGGGCTTCACGGGAGGCCTGAAGGATGAGGGCATCAGAGGTTCAGAGGAGGGAAGCTCCCACCTCGGGTCACACAGTCAGCAAGGGAGGAAGCTGGCGTCTGGGTCCCGTGTGGGGGTGGGGTGGCCGACTGACGGTGGTTCACCTGAGGCTGGCCTGCTTTTAGCACTGCAGGTCCCAGGAAGCCTCTGTCCCAGGCAAACCGGGACAGCTGGTCACCCCACCTGGGTGGGTTCTGGGGCTGATTTCCATTCTGAATCCTCTCTCGAGGGGGTCCCTAGGCATCAGCCTCCTGACCCAGCTCTGGCCCTAGGAGGTCTCAGAATTCAGTGTTTGCCCCAGGTGGGTTTGTCAGCCCCTCATGGGGGTCCTCCTCCCCCAGATTGCCTTGTGAATTACTGATAGCGGAGTGACAGGGGCTGGGAGGCAGGATTCTCAGGCCTGAACAGAGGGTGGGGGGCCTGGGCTCCTGGCTGCGAGGAAGGAGGCACTGGGGGCCTGGATTCTTGGATCCCTGGTGCCCAGGCCTCGGGCGCCTTTCTCATGGATGCCTGCGCGGCCAGGTCCTTGAAAGGGAAAGGCCCATCTCCTCTGCGCCCCCCTCCCCCACTGCCATGGCAACCGGTGGAAATACACGCGGAGTTCATCCAGTTCCCAGGGCCCGTGCGGCCCCCCTTTGCGGCCCGAGTTTCCATGACTTCATGCTCCTGGCCCTTGTGGCTCCCTCTCCCTCCCCCTGATGGGCAGCTTGGGAGAGGTGAGGAGCTGGGGTGTTAGTGCACGGAGGGCTGGGAGTCCAGCCCCTCCCATGCCCAGACCCTGCTCCTGGCCCAGGGCGCCCGCCTGGGGTTTGCATGTGCCTCGGCCTGCCTGTCCTTTGGCCCCCACTTGCTGTGCCCACTCGGTAGGGGGCTTTGTCTCCCCCAGGTTGGTTCTTCCCCTGTAAAGCAGAGCCCTGACTGCAGGTGGACTGGTGAAGTCGGCCCTTGGAGCCCCTCGGCCCTGTGCTCTGTGCACAGCGGGCCCTTAGTGCCCGGCAGCTGTGCCTCCGCGGGCCCCAGGTTCCCAGTGCGTGCTGACACGGCTGTGTCTTCGCAGTACGAGTCCTGCTCAGGTCCCTGCTGGCTTTGCCAGGCTCTGCACAGCCTTCATTGCCCCTCAGGGTGCCGGGCAGGACCACGGTCAATTCCTGGAGAGCGTCAGCTGGGTCTGGAGGAGGAGGGTGGGCCTCTGGCTCACCACTGGAGGCCCTCCTGTTGGTGGTGGGGTGCGTCCTGCCTGACTGAGCAGCATGAAGGATTCCGAGGCTGGAGAGAAGCCCCTTCTCTCTGCCTCCTCCTTGCAGAGTGCTGGGAGTCCTCTCCTGGTCTCTGTAGGGCTGGGCAGCTGGGGTGTCTTAAACAGCCGGTCCCACAGGGGCAGGGCTGGTGCCTGGCGGGTCCCCACTGGGAGGTCTGCCTCTTCCGCAGGAGGTGCGGCCTGACAGCCTGACCCCTTCCTCCCAGGCCTGCATCGATGAGAACCTGGAGGTGGTGCGCTTCCTGCTGGAGCAGGGGGCCACAGTGAACCAGGCGGACAATGAGGGCTGGACGCCTCTGCACGTGGCCGCCTCCTGTGGCTACCTGGACATTGCCAGGTGAGACGGGGAAGGTGGGCAGGACCCCACAGGGGGCGGGGGCTTGGAATCCTCAGCTCTGACCTCCCCCTGCCCCCAGGTACCTCCTGAGCCATGGGGCCAACATTGCCGCTGTCAACAGTGATGGGGACCTGCCCCTGGACCTGGCTGAGTCGGACACCATGGAGGGGCTGCTGAAGGCGGAGATCGCCCGCCGAGGTGGGCCTCTGGTGCTGCTCCTCCCTGTTGCCCCCAGCCCCAGAGCCTGGGGGTCAGACTGCTGGGGCCAGAGGCCCCCCATTTCCTAGGCTGCTGGCACTCTGGGCCTGCCTCCTTGCCTGTGAGCTGGAGGTGTCAGCACCTACCCTGCGGCTCCTGGGGATGTGAGTGGCCTGTGGAGCGTTCGTGCTATACCGCTGGGCACAGACGAGCTCAGTGGCCACCTTCTGTGATTACCTGGGCGTGGAGGTGAGGGCGCTTGTCCCAGGCCTGTCGGGTGGGACTGCAGGACTCTGAGCGCACGGCCTCCAGGAGTGCCCCCTGAGCCGGAGGAGGCGTGCAGGCCTCCCTGGGACTGAGCCCAGGGGTCCTTACTGGGTGGTCAGGCCCACAAAGTTGTCTGGCCATGTTTGCTTTTCTCTGGAGAGCGTGTGTTCCTTCTAGCAGGTTCTCAGAAGGGCTTGTGGCCACCTCCCCTGCCCCCAAATAGCTTTCTAGGCCCAGTTGTTTGTGGGGTGTGCAGGGAAGGCTGTACCAGACTGACAGAGGACCCGGGGCATGTTGGTTGGGTGGTGATGAACAGCTTTCCCAGGTCTTGGGGTGTGCGATGCCCTGGGGCCCCCGCAGCCCTGGGTCACCAGCGTGGCTCCTGGAGTCTCACTCTGGGTTTGCATCCAGCTGTGTGGGGACTGGCTTACTTGATGAGCGAGGGTGACACCAGCACTGTGCCTGGGGTGTGCTGCCAGGCTCTTGGAGGCAGCAGGCATGGGGAGCCGGGGACGAGCAGAGTCCTGCCAGCTGGCTGGGTGCTCTGAGAGGGGCACAGGGGCGCTGGCCGCACGCGAAGACGTGGGCACCTGGGGTGGCACCCTGCTTTGGCAGGCCAGGGGGCTTCTGCCGCCTCTCCTCCGCCTGGTTACTTTGGAAGGGGTCAGGCTTAGAGGCAGGCTGGCACAGTGGTGCGGGGCACTGGTGGCATTAGCCACTCAATGGAGCCGCAGGGCCGTCCCCGGGGCTCGCCCTTTGAAAGTGTGCGGTCCTGTGGGTCAGTGTGCACCCACCCACGACACATCGATCTTAGATGGTTCTGACCACCACCAAGGAAACCCTGCACCCCAGGCCCTCACCCCGGCACCTCGGCCCTAGGAAACCGCTGTCGGCTTTCTGTGTTTGGAGTTACCAGTTCTAGACAGTGGGTCTAAATGGAATCCTGCAGAGCAGATCCCTCAGGTTTAAATGTCTGGGCTGGGCCGGTCGTGTGCCCTGGGCGCCCCTCCTCCCCACCCCCTTATTTAAATACACCTCCCTCCCCCGCTTCCTTTTCTTGCCCCCTTCTTCTTTCCCTCCCTCACTGGGCTTCCCTGAACCAGTTGGAGACTGCAGATATATCTCCTCGGGCAAGGACACTGTCCCGCATCTGTGGTTGTGACATTGTTACTGTCCTGTCAGCATGGGGACATCGACTCGACGCCAAGCCCACCCACGGTGCGGTGTAGCCTCTCCTCTGGTCCGGGACCTGCCCACCGCTGCCCCGCGCTGGGTCCTCTCGGGACCAGCCCTTACCCTCCCCCCTCCAGCCTGTTTTACATGGAGCCCTGCTCAGCGTGGCCCTGGGTGTGTCTTCTCAATGAGACTCCGTTCACCTCCTGGCAGAAACTTCTCAGTGCGTCCCTCCGGGAGACAGGTGCTGTCTGTCCGCCCCGTCGCTGGTGCTTTTAGCCTCGAACTTGGATGGGGAGTGTCAGCCAGGTGGCTGTACCGTGCAGGCATCTTCCTCCCTTTGTTACTAAAAAGCAGTCCTCAGGGCTGTTTGCAGCTGCCGTGGCAGGTCCGCCTGGATTCCTTGGACACCAGGGGCCTGAGAGGGGCCACCAAGGGACCCCTGTGTTCCTCAGGCATTGCCCACAGCTCATGTCAGCTTCCCAAAGGGGCCGGGGTTCCCCTTCTGTGGGGTGAGGAGGAGGTTGGGCGTTGGCTTCAGGTCGGAGGCCTGTGGCCCCACCTGAAAGACCTTTTCCACCAGCTCATGACGCTGGCTTGCGTGCGAACGCGTTGGTGGGGTGCCTCCCCACGGTGTGATCGCAGGACCTAGTTTGTAGGCTGCCTTCCAGCGGCAAGTAGGGCAGTGGCTTCCGCCCCGCGAGGGGCACACACCTGAAAAGTGGAGCACCCCAAGGGTGTCAGGTGTCCAGGCAGGTGCCGGCTGTGCTGTAGCCCGGTAGCTGCTCCCAGCAGGGCCAGGAGAGAAACAGCACGGGCTGCGGAGGTGCTGAGCCTGGAGATGCCAGGCAGGGAGGCACGGTGAGCAGTGTAGACACTGCTGAGCCCTGGGCCCCCACTTCTTCTTGAGCCCCACTTCTTCTCTTCACTGTTTCCCTCTGCTGGGTCTGCTGTTCGCTGAGGATTGAACCCGTTCAGACAGCTACTGGGCCACACCTCTTGTCCAGCCAGGAGGTCTCTGGTTCTCTCGGCTCAGGGGCTCACTTAGGCACGACCCATTGCAGCCCAGCTTCGGCCAGTGACTGTTAATGTCCCAGGTTCATAGCTGCACTATTCCTAGTAGCAGAAAGCTGGAAGACCCATGTCTGTCGACAGGTGAATGAATATATGTGGTATGTGCACACAATGGAATGTTATTCTACCTTAAAAAAGGAAGGAAAGTCTAACACCTGCTGTGACATGGATGAACCTTAAGGATGTTACGCTGAGTGAAATAAGTTAGGCACAAAAAATACAAACACTGATTCCATTTATATGTGGTCCCTAGGTTAGTCAAACGCAGAGAGACAAAGTAGAATGGTTGCTGCCAGGGCCTGAGGGAGGTGGGGGTGGGGAGTTAGGGTTCAATGGGGAGAGTTTCAGTTTTGTAAGATGAAGAGTTCCAGAGATGGATGGTCGTGGTGGCTGCATAGCAGGGTGAATGTACTTAACAGTGCTGAACTGCACACTTAAAAACAGGATGTAACTTTTATGTGTATTTTACCATAATTAAAAAAAAAGAAAATTTATGGGCAGTATAACTGAAGTCCAGGAGTTATGTGGGCTTCAGGCAGAGTTTGATCCAGGGACACAAAGTGAAAAACACCTTCTGTCTCTCTGCTGAACCCTGTGTTCACTTCATTCCCAGGCAGGCTCCCAACAGTGCAGGCGATTCCCTCTCAGCTGGAGGCAGATGTCCTTGGTAGTCCCAGACACTTGCTTCTTGGGCCACCTTAGTCACAAGCCAGCCTCTGAGCCCAGTCACTGTAGCAGGGGGGACAGTCAGGCCTAGTGCTGTGGCCACCCATGGGGACAGGCTGAGGGCTCGGTCCCAGGGGAGCTTTGTGGGTGAAGGGGGGTGGGGAGAGTGCAGATGCTGTAAGAGGGGAGACTGGGTGCCGACTACTGGCAAGGTCACGCCACTGTTCTGCAGGTGCTGTTCCCCAGCCCAGCTGCGGGGCAGCCTCAGGTGCAGTCCCAGCCCCATGTCCAGTGTGGATAAGACCCTCCGGCCGCTTGACACGGAAGGGCTGTAGTCCGTCCCACGGGGACACCCGCAACTGGGCAGGAAGGAAACTTGGAGTGTTTCTGAAACACTCGAAGCGATGTGACGTGGAATCCAAGCACCCAGGACAGACGGGAGAGGGGGGCTCCTCTCTGGGGCCGTGGGCTGTCCCCATGCTGGCAAGGCTGGGAGTCCCACTCCTGGTGCTGGCTGGCGGGAGCCTTGGCAGTCACACCCACCTTGGGACACAGCTGGACACGGGTTACAGCTGAAGACTGAGCTCCCCGAGCCCCAGCGGGCCCGTATCTAGGCCCCCCGAGAGAGCCCCTGCCAGCACAAGAGCCCTGGGGGGCTGGGGAACAGACAATCAATAATCTGTAGGTGATCTAAGGGGTTGGCAAGCCTTCTCTAAAAGGAAGCTTCCTCAGTAAACATTTGAGGTTCTGTGGGGCCCGCTGCCGTGTTGCCAGCACCCTGCTGGTGTTGGGGAGACAGCCAGGGGCAGGTTGGAAAGAAGTGGGTGTGTCTGTGCTCCCCTTGAACTTTATTTACAAACAGGTGGCCTTCCAGAGTGGGCGAATCCATAGCAATGGGGGGTGGGCTCGGGGGCAGGTGCGAGCTGCATGACGGGTGTGTGGTTTCTGTCTGGGGTGAGGAAAACAAGATGGGTAGGGTTAGTGGTTGCCCATTGTGGATGTCTTAAATGCTGCTGAACTCTACGCTTCAAAATAGCGAAATTGGTAAATTTTCCATTCTCTTCATTTTACTACACCCACAACAAAAAAAGTAAAAAACGCAAATGGGTGGTCTGCAGCCAACAGGCCGTGGCTGCCAGACCCCAGTCAAGAGCCCTGTCAACAAACAGGTGACTCTTAGCCAAACACGAGTTCAGGAGGATGCATGCGAATGTGCGGAGGAATGCTTACTGACCATCGTTGCTGAGTAAAGGTCAGCAAGTCCTGCCCTTCCCTGCCCTCAGATGGGCCCATGTGCCTGTAACAAGACAGAATGTGGGTGATGCCTGCTGTGGGAGTGGGGGAGAGGGCAGGGCCTGAAGCCCTGGCACCTTGAGGCCTCTTCAGCCCCGCCTGGGCCCTCGGGAAGGGTCCAGAAGTGGTGCCATGGAGCCCAGGTGCCACTGAGGTGTCAGGCATGGACGGCTTTGGTCCGTGGTGGGGGTGGCACTCGGGTCCACGTATAGCCTTCGGGCGGAAGTTTACACTGTCTTAGTAGCTGTATCCTGAGATCCATGCTCAGTAAAGCAGAGCAGTGATGGTGGCTACCTCGGGGCAGTGGGCAGCTGGGGCAGCTGGGGCAGCTGGGGCAGCTGGGTGAGGGATGTGCAGGGCCTTCGTTTCCTGTGTTGTATTTTCATGTTCTTTATGCTGCGGTGGCACATGGGGGCTTAGCCAGTGCTGTCCTGAGGAAAGCCAGTGTGAGCCCTAAGGGTAAGCGAAAATCAGGTGCTTTCAAAAAGTAAAAAGAAACAAGTGAAATTAATCTTAGTAATATAGTTAACTCGGTACGTGCAAAACATTATTATAATGTTCATTGTCAACATAGAGACAATGAGCTGCTGCATACTCGTTTTTTTTTCATACTTGGAAATCTGGTGTGTGTTTTCATGCCTCCTCTCGGTTGGGACGCGCGGTGGTTCACGTGCGCTGTGGCTGTGTGTGGCTGATGGCTGTCGGACGGGACAGCTGAGTTCCATGCAGCACTGTCGGTTGATGAGAGAAATCTTACAACTGATAAATAACAGATGGCCATAAACTTTCCAGGAGAAACGTTGAACATTCCCCTAGAAAAGAACCATTTGAACTTGTCTCACTAAGTTTTAACAAACAGAATACAGATTCTCAGCGACAGTTAACAGATAATATTCGTCACAATAAGGGTGCCTGTTTTGATCCAGAATCAGCTTGAAGTCAGAACTTGCCCTTCATTTCCGTAAATGCAGGGCAGCTTTCCATGACACCACTGGGATACGATGAGGGACCAGTGAGGAAGCATGCTCGCCCCTCTCCAGCTTGTCCCAGGTGGCGGCACAGGACTCGGCCCCCGGGAGGCAAGAAGCTGTTGTCCCAGTGACCTGGACACGTGGTGGCTTTTTCTCGGTTTATCCCACTCGTGTGTGATAAAAGTGATAATTGCTGATAAAGGCATGAGGATGCTGGGCTAAGGCTGAATTGGTGGCCACTGGAAGATTAGGCCAAAGGCTGGATTTGCTCAGCAAACAGGTGTCACACTTAAAAATAATGATAAAGGTGATGCTTTGGTTGGAATGGGAAAGGTCCCATAATTTGCATTCCCCCAGCTCTCAGCAGTGACCTGAGACCCTTAGTGGGACTCAGGGCCGCATGGAGCATGGCTGGGAAGTCACTGAGCCAGTCCGGGTCCCCTGAGCCCCAGAGGAGCACGCAGGTGGAGAGACCTAGGCCAGAGTGCAGGCCTGTGCTGCTTGGACCTTGGGTGTGAGTCCCACCCATCACCCCTCTCGTCCTCCCAGGTGTGGATGTAGAGGCAGCCAAACGGGCCGAGGAGGAATTGCTGCTTCACGACACAAGGTGCTGGCTGAACGGGGGCGCCATGCCCGAGGCCCGGCACCCCCGCACGGGGGCCTCTGCCCTGCACGTGGCTGCTGCTAAGGGCTACATCGAAGTGATGAGGTGAGCTGGCCGGCCTAGACTCCCCACCTTCCCTGCCCCTTGCGCTGGGCCAGTCTGTTCCTTCTCCCTGTTGCACACCTTCCTGTGGATTGTGTCTGTTCTTATCCTTGTCTGATTTATGTACCTAAGGCTGCGTGTTTCCCTCTAAATACAGCGTTAGCTGCATCCACAAGTCTTGATGGGTAGGCTTTTTATTGTCATTCGGTTTAAACGTTTTTCAATTTGTAATCTTTCTTCAACCCTTGGATTATTTAGAAGTGTATCCTTAATTTCAAAGTATGTGGGATTTTCTAGTCATTGTTTCATTCCTCATTCCTGGCTTACTTGCACTGTGGTCAGACAATGAGTTCTCCATGATGCCAGGTTTCTGGAGTTTGTTGAGATTTGCTTCATGCCCCGTGTATGTAAGCTCGGAGGTAACGTGCCAAATACAGTGTTCTGTATAGCTTATTAGATCAACTTGGTAGTCATGCTATTTAAATCTTCTGTATCCTTAGTGGCTTTTTTTCTATCTGCTGCTTCTGTCAATTACAGTACGAGGTATGGTCAGACGTTCACTCCGACTGTGTATCTGTCCAGTCTCCTGCGGTTCTGTCAGTCTTGATGTCACACATTCCAAGTCCAGGCTTTGTGGTGCACGTGTTTTAGATGGTCGAGTACACACTCCCTTTCCGTCCTCCTCACCTTGGCCTTTTCCTTATTTGGCCGCCTTGCTGCCTTCTGTTGGGCAGTCAGGTCCGGTTCGTACTCTGATCCCTATTTCTCTCTTTGTGATGTTACACTTCATCTCTCCATCCCGAGCTGGAGTTAGGACGCTCACCTCTGTGTGGACCTTTGAGGCAGGTTTTCCAGCGAGGCACTTAAGATGCCCCCTAACAGCTCCTGGCCCACGTGCCAGCTGCTGCACCTGCTGTGGAAGTAGTGTTCCCTCCTCCCCAGTTCCCAGCAGACCTGGGTCTGATACTCACAGGGCTGCCGGGGTGCCTGCCCTCCCAGAGCCATCCCTGTGGCAGGGGGCGGGGCACTGTAGGTGGGCCAGCGAGGCGCCCAGCTTGCACCTGCTCGTGGCTTCCTCCCCTGGGGCTCAGGTGGCTGCTTTGTCGCTGCTCCTGCATCTCAGCAGCAGGAAGGAGGCAAGGGCAGAGTGCGAGCAGCCCTGCCTTTTAAATGCACTGCCCAGACGCAGCACACACGCTTAGTGCTGACATCCCACTGGCCAGCCTCGCTGTCGGGGAACCAGGAGACCCTCTCCAGGCGACGTGTGCCCAGCCTCAAACCGGGGGCAGCTGTTAAAGGGAGGAGCATCGGTGTCTGTGGGCAGCTTCGTTCTCTGCCACCGAGCGGAAATGCTTTGCAGTTGACTGTAGTCCCACTGCTGCCCCTTAGGACGGGTCTGGGTTGCAGCCAGATCTCTCACTGCGCCATTCCTCACTGAAGGTGGCTGGAGGAGGAGCGTGTACATTGATTTGATGCCATTCACTTAACACTTAGCTCCTGCTGTATGCCAGGCAGTCTTCTGGGTGCTGGGGGCACAGCAACAAGACAGACAGGCGGGGCCTGCCTGCAGCTCAGCCTCATCAGGGGGCCAGACAATCAGGTGACCAAGGGGGCCGGTAGTGTTTTGAGTGGGGTTCTCCACCACCACACTGGTGACATGGTGGATGGCTCTTGGGGGGCCATCCTGTAGGAGGCTGGCTGACCAGTAGACACTGGCAGCGCCCCCACTGTGGTTATGGCCACCAGACACGTCTGTGGATGTTGCCAGATGTCCCCTAGGGGTCAGTGTCATCCACAGTGAACCCTTGGCCTAGTAGGATATCCATGGGGCTGTGGGAGAAGGCGAGCGTGGACGGGGAGGGCCTCCGAGAGCGGTCAGGGAGCCCCTGGTGAGGAGGGGGTGACTGCTGGGGCTTGGGGTTCCATGGACTGCTGCAGCATCCCGAGAACATCACCCCACAGGCAGAAGAGCAGGGGCAGGGCCCTGGAGGAACACCCCGCTGGGGCAGAGCAGGCCCGGGAGGGGGGTGACAAGGTCAGCAGGGCCACAAAGGACTTGCTTAATTAAAGACGGCATCTGTCTGTGCCCACCTCGCTGTAGCTCTTTCTCCTGTGACAGAACTTAACTCAGGTTCTCTAAGAGCAGGCGTGCCTGCCCTCAGCTGACCGCAGAATCGCCCTGGACCCCAGCTCTGCCCTCCCCAAATTGGGTGGGGTTACCTCCTGGGTGTCTCCCCCGCGGCAGCAGTGGTGTTTTGGCCCCGAGCCTCCTGTGTGGCGGGGGCTGGCCTCTGCCCGTAGGGTGTTTAGCAGCGTCCCTGGCACCGTCCCACTGTGTGCTCCTAGCGCCCACTCCTGCTGTGAGAACAGAAGTGGCTCCAGATGCTGCCAGATGTCTGCCGGTGGGTGGCCTCGCATCACCCAAGAACCACAGCTCTAGGCCAGCTGGGGTCCCCAGGCCGCCGCTTCCTGGGTCTCCTCCCCATAGGCTTGGGGGCTGTGGGTGTCCCTCCCTCCACCCCCTGGGGCTGTCCCACAGTCAGGGGCCACAGTTCACAGAGTTGACCCCTCGCAGGTACAAGGAGCAGGGTTCCAGGGGATACCTGCTGGGCCAGGGGAGGGTCAGAGATGGTGGCAGGGGGGTTGCTGGCGGGAAGAGGCTCAGGGCAGTGGCTCTTTACCACCTGGCGTGGGATTGTTTCAATACTGTCAGGTGGTACTGACACTGGGTCGGCTGACATCAGCCTTGGCCCCAAATTCCTCGCTTTGTTCTTGACCCTGAGCCTCCCTGGCCCCCAGGCTGCTCCTGCAGGCTGGCTATGACCCAGAGCTCCGGGATGGCGATGGCTGGACCCCCCTGCATGCCGCGGCCCACTGGGGTGTGGAGGATGCCTGCCGCCTGCTGGCCGAGCATGGTGGGGGCATGGACTCACTGACCCACGCGGTGAGACACTCGGGGACTGAGGGCCGGTGGGGCGGGGGGCCCCCACACCTGCTGCCTCACGTGGCCCTTCTCCCCTCCCCCACCCAGGGACAGCGTCCCTGTGACTTGGCCGATGAGGAGGTGCTGAGCCTGTTGGAGGAGCTGGCCCGGAAGCAGGAGGATGTGAGTCTCGGGGTCTCCCTCACCCCCATCAGCTGACTGGGAAGGGGGCCTCCTGGTGCCCTCACTTCCCAGTGCCCACCACCCTGGGGACCTAGCTGGCACAGGTGGGGCCTGGGGCCCACTGGGCCTTGCTGTGCAGAGGGGGAGTCTGTTCTGTGTGGGTTTGGCCTCGTTACTCCTGGGAGGCCCCCAGCCAGCACCAGGACAGGCTTTGTTGCTGGGAAAACATGGAGTGGTGGAGTACACGGCGTGGATTCGCTGTCTGAACCCTGGCCCTGCTGTGGCTTTGCTGTGTGAGCTCAGGCCAGCTGCTGAACCTCTCTGGGCCTCAGTTGCTTATCTGTGACATGGAGACGATAGCTTGCACACCCTGACTTGGTGAGGATCACACATGCTGTTGTCTCGAGTATATGCTGAGCTATGAGGAAGATACATGTCACTGAACAAAGGCTTCTAGAGCCCCACCTGGCATGCAGCCAGTGCTATTAGGTCCCAAGGAACATCTCCTAAGGCCTCCTAGGGGCCAGGCCCTCTGTCGGGAGCTTCTGGGGATGGGCAGGTGGCTGGAGACAGATCCCTGTGTTTAAGGGGTGGTCACAGTGACATCGAGGTGAGAAGTTGTGGTTCTGCCTTGGTGGGCTTAGGACAGCCCCCCAGAGCCAGGTGTATACCCAGGGTTGAGGGAACAGCATCGCAGAGATTCAGGGGTGGGTGCCTGGGGAGGGGTGCAGTAGGCCCTAAGGGCCTCATGTGCCTGGCTGAGGAGCAGTGTGAGGGACCTTGAGAGGGTGAGGCAGGGTCAGCTCTCAGGGAGGGGCACCAGCTGGGGTGCTCATCTCCTGGCTTGGTGGCACCTAAGAATTCTTTCTGGAGGAGGTTAGTCCTCCAGCACATGGAGTCTGCTAGGAGGGACAGCGATGGCTGGCGCTCCTGGCAGGGAGCCACCGTGCACAGGCTCCGCGTCGTGAGGGCACAGCAAGCTGGGAAGTGCTCATGTCACTGGGCTGGGCCTGAGAGTGCCGTGGGGAGGGCAGCCCGCCCCACAGTGCCTGGCGCTGAGGGCTGGGGGTGTTGAGGCAGGGTGCCCCAGGAGTAGACCCCTCTGGGGACAAGACCAGGGCAGGGAAATGAGGCAGCCATGAGGACAGGAGACCCAGGGCACTGCCTCTTCCAGGTGCCGTGCAGCCGCCTGCAGGGAGCCGCCTGCCATGAGCCCCGTGCTGCCCGGAGCTGAGCTCATGCCCCATCACACCCTCAAAGCCAGACCAGCTCCGCTGTGCGTGGTGGCCCTCCGTGCTGGGGCTGTGGGACCCTCCTTACCAGCCTCCTCCCCCCTTGCAGCTGCGGAACCAAAAGGAAGCCTCCCAGAGCAGGAGCCAGGAGCCCCAGGTACCCTCCAGCAGCAGACACCGCAGGTAGGTGCAGGTGCCCACGGGGTGGCGGGCTGCAGCGCCCCAGAGCTTGGCCCCCGACACCCACCCTTCCCCCCAGGAGCTCGGTGTGTCGTCTGAGCAGCCGTGAGAAGATCTCTCTTCAGGACCTGTCTAAGGAGCGCCGGCCTGGGGGTCCAGGGGGGCCCCCTATCTGTGATGAGGATGAGGGAGAAGAAGGCCCCACAGGTGGGGAGCCAGGGCCTGGGCTCCGGGTCTGAGGGAGGGGGGCTGGGGGCCTGGGCTGCTGGGTCTGAGGGAGGGGGGGCTAGTTCTCAGGCCTCTGCATCTCCGTCTTCCTACACCATAGAGCCACCCCCTGCAGATTCCAGAACCCTCAACGGAGTCTCCTGCCCTTCATCCCTGAGCCCTCAGAGCCCCATAGTGAGTCTGGGTGCCCTGGAGGGTGGTGGGGTGTTCTGAGTCCTATAAACCCCTTTTCAGGGAAGGTAAGGTGAAGACTACAGTTCCCAAATCTTCCAGAAGGGCTCTTTTCTGGCTGCACCTGCTCAGGGGCTAATGGGAATTGTAGTTTGTTGTGGTCCTTTGAGGGTAACACTTGAAGTGTCTGAAAAGAACCCTTTCTCCATAACTCTGATCTTTCTCTTCTCCAGCCCCCCGAAGAGGCCCCATACTCCAGGCGCTTTGGCCTCCGGAAGACAGGGAGCTCTGGCACCCTGGGTCCTGTGGACAGGCGGCGGGTTGAGGGTGCCCCTGGAATCGGGCCACAGCGCTCGGCCTCTTCCTCCCAGCTGGAAGGGACCTCCACTCAGGTGAGGGGCTGAGCCGGGGGCAGGGGCCAGGCCCTGTGTAGGGAGGGGCATCCCTCCTCCCCTCCTCTTCTGTCTCTGTAGGCCAGGGAGCCCCGTCTTGCCAGAATCACCCCTACCCCCTTCCAGAAGGTGCCGGAGTCCTCTGCCCTGTGAGTATGGAGAGCCTGGGCCCCTCTGCAGGTAGAGGCGGGTCTGGCTTCGGCCTTGTCGGCATGGTGCTGAGCAAGCCCGAGTGCTGTCTGGGGTCTGGTTCCTGCCTCCTCGCCCCACTCTTCGCCTTGGTTTTCCTTCTGGTGCATCAAGTAAAGGCTCACAGTTATGCTTCCAAGGCCGCACTGATTCAGTCTCCCACTGCCTCTGCCCGCCCCCGCCCAGTCCCTTTCTGATAGGGCACTGGGCCAGGGCCTTCTCTAGCAGCCGCCCCACCCCTCACCCCTGCAGAGTGTGTTCCCCCTCCCTCGGGTCTGTGTTTAAGTGTCACCTCCATGAGGCCCACCGCACCACCTCACTGCAGCCATGTCTGTCTGCCGTCCCTGCTCTGTTTTTCTCCAAAGCACTTTATTCTTGACAGATGATGTACTAATCTTTTAATGATCATTTATTTTGGGTCTTTTCTGCTCAGATTGGACTCAGTGGGGCAGAGAAAATTTGTTTCTTCTGCTCACTGCTGTACCTCCAGCGCCTGCCCCTGAACTGGAGCTTGAGTAGAATGTTTGCTGAATGAGTGAATTCACACAGGTGTGAGCTCTCCAGGCCTCCTCCCCTGGATAACTGCACTCCTCCCTCCAGGATGCCGGAGCCTGAATCCCCAGCGAAGCCAAATGTCCCTGTAGCCTCTGCAGCACCCCCAGCGGACTCTCGGGACCGCCGGAGGTGAAGAGGCCAGGGACTGGCAGAAGCTTGTCGCCCCAGCTGGGAGAAAACTACATTTCCCAGGAGGCCCCGGGGCTTGGGGCAAGGGCTCCCAAGGGGGAGTCTGTCCCAGGGTCTTCTAGGAGTTGAAGTCCTTCGGGAGAATGTACCTCCCCTAAGAGGCCATCATCCGTGGGATGGGAACAGGGCCCGAAGGAACCCCTCTTGAGGCCTGGGGCCCTTCACTCCCAGGTCTTACCAGATGCCTGTGCGGGATGAGGAGTCTGAATCCCAGCGGAAAGCACGCTCTCGCCTCATGCGCCAGTCCCGGAGGTCCACGCAGGTGTGGGGGTGGGCTGGCGGCCTGGACTCTTTAAGGGAGGAGGGCTGGGGGCCAGGACTTAAGCCCTGAAGGGACTGGGCCCTACAGCCCCAGGGCCCCTGACTGTCCCCTTCCCTGCCAGGGTGTGACTCTGACAGACCTGAAGGAAGCAGAAAAGGCTGCAGGGGAGCTCCCAGCGCCAGAGAAGCCTTGCCTGCAGAGCCCGGTGAGAGGGGTCAGGTGACCGGGCTGTGGGTGGTACAAGGTGCCCTTGTCCTCTGACCCCTGTCCCTCTCCCACAGGACCCTTCCCGGAGGCCCCGAGTCCCTGGGGTGGAGGCCTCTGATGGCCCTGCCCAGAGAGGTGAGGTCTGGGCTCTGGGAGGTCGGCCTCCTGGCCCACCCGATTCCTCCTCCTGCAGTCTGTCTTGCTGGGGGTCAGGCCCGAGACCCTAGCACCGCAGAGCGGGGGGTCCCTCTACAGGTGCCCGGGCTTATTCCTGCCCCTACCCCAGCAGAGGCGCCTGACGGGCAGGGTCAGGGACCACAGGCCTCCAGGGAGCACCGCAAAGTCGGCAAGGAGAGGAGGGGGCCAGCAGAGGTGAGGGGCGGGGCCCAGGCGGGGCGAGCTGGGGCGGTGGGTGGGTAACCCCTACGTCTCCGACTGAACCCACCTCCGCCCGCAGGGGGAGGAGGCGGAGCCGGCCGACCGCAGCCCAGCGTCCAGGTATGGGGTGGGCAGTGAGGGTTTGGGCTGGTCTGAGGGTTGCGGGGTGTGCTCCCTGACGCCCTACTCCGCCTCCACCCCAGCACTCCCGAGGTTGGCCCCTCATCCTGCAGGCTGGGGGACCCCGAACCAGAATCAGGAGAGCCAGACGGAGGCTTCAGGAAGGTTCGCAATCCCGCCCCATGCCCTGTGCCCTTGGAGTCGCTCTCAGGGCCCTGCCTGGTCCGGGAGGCCGGCCTGACCCCGCCCCTCCCGGTGCCCACAGCTGTATACGGAGCTGCGCAGTGAGAACGAGAGACTTCGAGAGGCTCTGACCGAGACCACGCTGCAGCTGGCGCAGCTCAAGGTGGAGCTGGAGCGCGCCACGCAGGTGCAGCGCGGGCTCAGGGCTGCGGCGGGGGCGGGACCAGGGTCCTGGGAGGTGGGGCTGAGCAGGGGGGGAGGGGCTACAAGCCGGGCTGGGCCCCCCGGAGGGGTGGGACTAGGGCTCCTGGGAGGTGGGGCTGAGCAGCGGGGGAGGGGCTACAAGCCGGGCTGGGCCCCCTGAGGGGTGGAACTAGGGCCCCTGGGAGGTGAGGCTGAGCAGCAGGGGAGGGGCCACAAGCCAGGCTGGGCCTCCGGAGGGGTGGGCAGGGACCAGAGGGCCTTCGGGGACGGGGCCTGTGCAATGAGGGGTGGGTCCAGTGATGGTAAGCAGCGGCCCTCAGGGTGGGGGGACCCACAGGAGCCTGTACTGCCCTCCTCCATTACATGCTGGTTTCCCTTTCTTGGCCTTTGCGGTTCGCGTGTTTATCTGATCCTTGTGCTTTCTCTGCGCTCATCAGAGGCAGGAACGCTTCGCAGAGAGGCCGGCCCTTCTGGAGCTGGAGAGATTTGTGAGTAAAGGCAGCTGCGGTGGGGACGGATGTGTTCCCAGCCTTAAAGGCCCACGTGGGTCTAGATGAAGAGGGCCCCACTGATCTAACCTCGCCCCTGACCTCTCCCACCCTCGTCGGCTGTCCTGAATCTCTGGCCCTCCAGGATCCCAGTCCCTTGCCCTCACTTTCCCCCATTTATCCCAGGAGCGCAGGGCCCTGGAGCGAAAGGCCGCCGAGCTGGAGGAGGAGCTAAAGGTAAGCAGTAGAGGGCGCTGTGGGCAGGGGGTAAAGGTGGGGAGTGGGTTCGGCCTGCCCAGGAAGCCCAGCTGACCCATCCCCGCTCGCAGGCCCTGTCTGACCTCCGGGCTGACAACCAGCGGCTCAAGGACGAGAATGCAGCCCTGATCCGTGTCATCAGCAAGCTGTCTAAGTGACTCCGGAGGCCCTTCCCCACGTCCGTATTTATACAGCTGCTTCTGCCACGCGCACCCCTTCCCCTGCGTGACCACGAGTGACAGGGCTCCGCGGGGAGCCTCTGAGAAGCCATAATCTCCCCTTGGGACCTCCAGACTGGGAGGGGAGTACGGGGTTCCCAGGAGCCCAGGGGGACCATCTGGGGCCAGGAGGTGGCGGGAGGCTGAGCCAGGTAGGGGGATGTTGCTGAGGGGGGACCAGGAAGGAACGGAGGACCAGGAAGTGCCAGGACCAGAAGCCAGGACCAGAGTGGCCGCCCGGAGGTTCCCCCTCACGTGTGATGCCACCCAGTCACCCCTCCCGCTCCTGAACAGGGATCCGAGAATGTGCCAAGAGCCCCGCCGGCCTGGGCCAGGGGGGCCTGTATATAGGGTCCGTGTGCAATAGGGAGGGATGTCTTCTATTTTTTGCTGCCCCCTCCCCGCCCACTGTCCGGGGCAGGGGGAGAAGGTATTTTCGAGACAAAGCACAGGCACCACAAATAAAAGTCGTGACGTCGCCACTCGGTGACTGTGGCCCGGGGTGCCGCCTCTAGGCTGTGCATGCCAGTGACCAAAGCCAGGGCCTGGGAGGTTCAAGGAGGGCGGAGGGGTGCTGAGAGCTGGGGAGCTGTGCTCACCGGGTTGCAAGGGGCTTCAGGAAGAGTGGCCATTTGAAGCAAACGCCCCAAACCAGGGCTGGCATGGTCACAAGGTAGCTTGAGGTGCAGTGGGAAGTTGGTTGGGTGAGCCCTTGGGGGGCTGTATTGGACTGAGGAGCTCGGCTTTTGCCACCAGTGCTTCTGAAACAAATTCAGGTCCATTCCCAGCATTTAAAATTTGGGGCAGTTCACATATAAGTCTAGAATTTCTACTTCTCTGAAAAATAGGAAACTCTGATATTCTGAGCTCTTGCATCTGGCATGGGAACAGCTGGCTGAAGGAGGAGTCTTTTGGATGGTGAGCCAGCATGTGCAAAGGCCCTGGATAGAACGGTGCCTGACCTGCTGAGGCACAAAAAGCCAGTGTGTCTAGAGGGAGGTAGTAGGGGATAAAGCTGGAGAAGTAACCATTGGCTAGCCATGTAGGACTGTGGCCCTGGTAAGGACTTGAACTATGAGGTGGGCCCTAGATTAACAGGTCTCTGGCTGTTGCCTTGAGATTAGTTTGGAGGAATAGCAGCGTGTGACAGAAACAGGGAGCCCAGTGAGGGGCTCCTGCCATTATCCCAGCAAGAGGTGATAGTGGCTTGGACCTGGGTCATAGTGCTAGAGATGGGAGAAACGGTCAGATTCTGCAAACACTGGAGGGTATGGCTGCCTGTTGGTTGGACTGTGATAGGAATGGGGCTCAGGCCTGGCTTGCTGGTGCTGGCCTGTTGTCTGGCTCCTGTACGCAGTCCAATTTGCAGCCTGTATGATGGCAGCTGTTGGGGGTTCGTTGAAAACTGGAACAAGAAGGTTTGGGGAATTGCTTGCATCTCTGGTTCCTCTGTTAGAAACTAGGGCTCAGGCACCTGGCAAGAGGTTGGTTGATTAGACATTTGGGGCCAAGAGTGTTCCAGGCAGTGGAAACAGCAAGCAGAGGCCTGGTGGCAGGAAGAGGGAAGCAGAATGCTGTGCTGGAGAAGCTGGTGAGCCTGGCCAACCACGGGCCCTTGGCTGCTGAGCTGGGGCTTGGATTTTACCTGATAGGCTGTGGAAATGTGTGAGCAGGGGACAGAGAGAGGTGGAAAGGAGTCTTAGAGAGCTGATGTGCCCTAGCTGCAGAAGGAAACCAAGACCTGAGGGTTGTAAAGTGGGTACTGAGAGTCACAGCTCCTGCCTGCCCACGGTTGTGTCTGTTCCCATCTGATTGTGGAGTGTTGTGTGGTGGCTCAGGTAGAAGTGGATGCTGGGAGAGTAACCTGGGGTACGAGGCCAGGCTTCCCGGAACTCGCTATCTGAGCTAGGCCAGAAAGGCTGAGTACACAGGCAAAAAAGCGCTGCAAACTGCCCCCCATGATGCAGGCACCAAAGGGAGGAGAAACCAGCAAGTGCAAAAGCCCTGTGGTTGAAGGGGCTTGGGCTTGTTTGGAGAAGGGCAGGACCAGAATGTGTGGGCGCATTGAGGAGGTTGGGGAGGTGGGTAGGGATCAAACCACTCAGGGTCTTGAATGCCAGACTGTGGAGCTAAGAGGGCCATGGGGTGCCAGGGAGAATTCTGAGTAAATGATGGGCTGGTCTATTAGGTGTTCAGAAGATCACTCTGGAGCAAACTGGAGAACCAACTTGAAGCTCTAGGGGGTCAGGAGAAAGCCTGGGATGGGGTCCAGGGCAGGAAGAGGACTCAGAAAGAAACCAAAGACGGTGGGGATAGCTGGGTTCCTTTCCTCTCCTACAAGGCTGTACCTGGGGTAAGGGGCAGGTTTCCTGGCCCCCGGTTGCTGGGTAGAGAAGCGAGATCAGTAGACACCAGCTGCTAAAAGGAGGCTGTTTATGGACTTGGCAGCATATCACAAAGCCCAGGGTTCCTGAGTGCGCCCTCTCCCTGGGAACGCACAAGCGCTTTCCTTAAATTGTCTCCTCGCCCCGCTCCCCTCCCGCCCCTGGCTACGGGTGCTCGGTGGGGAGACTCCAGCAGGGACTAGGAAACCCAGGTCGACGATCCTTCCAGGGGGCTACTTGCATTGTGGGGGGCAGTCAGCAGAGTCTGTTCTCCCAAAGGGCTGCCTCAAACCTTTCAGCTGAGGGCCGGGAAGGATCAAATGATCTCTGTCTCCATCTCGCCTTCCACTTTCTTCTTCTGTTTCTCCATCACCGCCTCCAGTTCCGACACTTCCTCTTTGTCCTGGGGGGACGGTGGACATGACTGGCGTCCGAGCCCTTGGCCCCTCGCTATGCGGGCCGGGGACAAGCATCCCGGCTCACCTCCAGCAGCGCACGCTGCACGGCGACCTGACTGTAGACGCGCGTCCCCTGCTCAGGGCTCAACGCCCGCAGCTCCTCCTTCTGCAGCGAGAAGAGCTGCGCGCCGGTCAGCATGCCCAGCTCATCCACAGTCCTGAGCCAATGGGGACGCTGTCAGGTCTGCCGGCCAATCATGGCTCCAGCTCCCCACCCACCAATCACAACTCGCCATGGGGAAAGGCGAGGCTACAGCTGCACACAACTGCCGGAGGGAGGCGGAACTTCTCTAAACACTCCAATCGGAGCTTGAGAAAACAGGACAATCAGTCTGCCATTGTTGCAAGCAGCGGCACCCTAGCTTTGGGCCAGTCCCGTTTTCCCGCGGTCCGCCACGCCCCCCTCTGGCCCAATCAGAATGCTCCGTTTCTAGCTTTCCTAGGTCAGGCCTGGAGCCGGCCGCAGCCACTCACCCGGAGCTAAAGCCCTTGGCCTGCAGCCAGGCGCGGACCTCTGAGGCGGCCGAGCGCGGGCTGAGCTGCGGCTCCGGGGCGCGAGGTCCCGGGGCTGCGCGGCTGGGGCCCGAGCGGCCCTGGGCCAGGCGCGCCTGCATCTCCTCGTTGACACTGAGCATCTGGGAGAATTTCTCTGCAGGCGGGAAACCGAACTCAGGACGAAGGGTCCCGTGCCAGAGTGGGGGCTGGGGTTGGGGGAGCTCCAGCGTCCTCCTGATGGGTCAGGAGTCCATTTGCTCTTCCTGAGCCTCGGTTTCCCTGCCTGGAGAGTGAGGACACGGACGGCTCCCCGGAGAGGGTACCCCACCACTCACCTGTGTGGCTAGGGTCCAAGCTGGTGAGACTGCTGCAGCTGTCCCAGTGGGGCTGAGCCGAGGCAGGGGCCGGCGCGGGCCGGGGAGGGGCAGTGCTGTTCTAGAGGGGAAGGAGAGGGCCGCCTGCGTCGGAAAGGCCCCAGAGACCCAGCTCCTCTTCCTCCTCTTGGAGGTTTAATTTTGAATCGCCAGCCACCTCCTCTGCTAGTGTCCTTGCCCTTGACAACTGATCCCCATGCCTTCGATTCCCAGGACCCAGAATCTTGCCTCTAGAATTTCTTTCAAGACCCAGGAGTCCGCCCCGGCTCACCAGACTCTGGGCAGGGCTTTGGCTGCGGCTCCGCCGGGGCCCTGGGTGAGGTGTTAGGATATTAAAGGGTATGTATCCCTCCTGCCCAATCTGGTCCCGCACCTTCCACCATTTGCGCCTGTCATCCAGGACCTGGGGGAGGTAAGAAGGGAGGGTTCAGAGCCTGTGTCTGCGGCTGAGGCTACGTCCACTCCAGCCCCTCAGCCCCCGACCCCTCTGACCTCCAACACATCCTGCTGCTTGACCGATAGCTCGCTGCTGTTTCGAGCCTGAAAGTCATAATTACATAGGACCCACTTCCCCTCCGGCTCCGGCTGAGGCTCAGCCTCTGGCTCCTGGTCTTGGTGACTGAGGAGAAGGGGGTAGAGTTGAGGATAAGGAGGCAGCCAGTTCCACTGCTCTGGGTGACGGGGTGTTGGTGTGAGCTGGGGTTAGAGCCAAGCAGGGGTTCAGGCAGGGATCCAGATTAATACTGTTAATGGAGATTTGAAATTGGAATAACAGCTTGAATGTGTCTTCTTCCTTATGCACCTGACACATGACATGGGTACTGGCATTACCTCCATTTTATATATGAGAACGTTCAGGCTCAGAGAGCCTGTCCCAGATTACACGGCTATAGACAGCTGCTATTTAGGGAGCATCTACTACCTACTGAGCTCATGCACAATGCTAACCCATATTAATAATAAAAACACTTATATAGCACTTACTACATGTTCCAAAGTCAAAGTTACATATATTAGCTGATTTGATTCTGGAGACAACCCTTGAAAGAATCATAATTTGGCCCCCCAGTCCCTTCCTCCCCTGACTCCTGATTCTATTATCTCCATCTTACAGGGGAGGAAGCAGAGGAACAGTGATGTAAAGTGACAGGGTGATGAAAAGGTCACAGAGCAAGGAAGAGCCATGAGGGGCTGGGACCCAGGCAGGCTGGCCCCAGAGTCCCGCGTCACGCGGCTCCACCGTGCATGCAGCCGGTTGTGAACCTGAGCTCCTAGCTGCTAGCCTGTACAGTCTCACAGACTTCTCACCCTTCCAGGAAGGGATTATTACTAGGCCCATTTTTTTCTGCAAAGAACTTGAGGCACAGACAAAGTGAGTTAAAATCTGGGTGTCAGACCCAAGAGTTAGAAGCAGGCAGGGGGGAGGGTGTCTGCGAGACCAGGCAGCTGGTGGGGAGGGGAGTGGGATTTTGGCTCCGACCTCCAGTAAGAGGGACCTCAGCCAGGATCAGGCCTACCTTTGCAAGGGAGAGGGGGGGTCTTCAGGGCCGCGGCACCCCCTGCGTGGGGCCAGCAGCTCCCAGCATGCCGTCCCTGCTGAGACCCTCTACCCGGGCCCTCACCCAGACCCCCTTCTGCTCCTCCAGCCGTGCTGCTCTGTTTTTCTCTGTTCCCACGTGGCTTCCCTCCCACTGGCCCTCTGACTTGACCAGGGACCCTGGAGTCCTGCCTTTATAACCCTTTCATCCCCCAGGACACAAGAGTGCACACCTCCATTGCTTGTTGGAGCCGTGAACTTGGCTCCTCAGTTCTTTCCTCCCTCAGAGATCCAGGAGTCCATCTCAAGCCTTAATTTCCTCGACCTTTTAGCTCTTAAACGGTCCCAGTCTGATGCCCATAAGGGACTAAGACAATCGTTTTAGAGCCTTGGGAAAGCGAGGGTCCAGCCCGCAAGCCTTCACCTCTCTCAAGGGCCCAGAGATACTGCCACTCCTATCCTTCCCAGAAACTTGCTTCTTGGCCCTTGAGGTCCCAAGCCTGCTTCTCTGGGCCCCCAAGGTCTCAAGCACCAGAGCCGAGCTCTTCTCAGAACCCCGATGTCCAATTCCCCAGCCTCTTCCTTCCAAGACACAGGATTCTGTCCTCTTAGAGACCCAGGCAGGGAGCGTCCCAGGCTCTGGGCAACCAAACTGCCTTATTCTAGCCCTTTGGGGACCTAGGGTCCAACCTCTCAATTACCCACTCCCAGCTCCCTCCTCCCTTAGACCCAGAAGACAGGCCCCGCTCCCTCCCTCCCTGGTCCTTCCCCCCTCTCCCAGCCCCCACCCCACCTCCTCACCACCTCACCCACCTGCGAAGAGCCGGAAGACAGAAGGGAAAAGACAGAAAAAAGGGGGGTGGATCAGCATTGGGAACTCCCAAGACACACCCCTCCTGGACCCCACCTGCTGCGCCCTGGGGCCGACACTCACCCATTGACAGCAACTTGGGGGGCGCTTTGCTGCAGGAGATGAGAGCAGCTGGTCAGGCGGGGCCAGACTTCCAGGCCCCGGCCCGCTGTGTCGCGACGGGGAGCTTGTTGCTCCCCTGGAAGCCTTAGCCTCACCTGCCGGCGCCGCCGCTCGTGCTGTAGCTGTTTCTCTACTGGGTCCTCCCAGGCACGGCCCTGCGGGTCAGTGGCCGGCGGCTCCCAGCCGCTGTAGAACTCGGGGCTGTATGGGGGTCCTTCCTCCGGGGGCAGCTCCAGCCTGAGGTCAGGGGTGGGCAGAGGGCTCAGGGATCCTAATCGGGCTCTCGACTTGGCCCTGTCATTAACTTCCCTTCCTCTAGGCATCTCTCTATCCCAGCGACTGCAACCTCACCCCATCCTGCCAATCCCTGTCCCGCCTCTAAGCTCCACCCACGACAACCACCTGCATTTGTAAATACACGGGTTCCACTCTATTGTTCCGCCCCAGCCTCGGAATCTCCCCCGAGTCCTAGCTTCGGTTCTAGCTGCACAACCCGCCGCTTACCCTGAGTTTCGCCTCTGGCTCTGCGCCTACCCCCTTGCAGCTCTCAGCCTGAGCGCTCGGGCTCCTCCCCCTTTCCAGCCGACAGGCCGAACCCTTGCTAAGCCCCGTCCAAGTCCCTTTTGTTCCAGCCCGAGCTTTGGTTCAGTTTTAGGCCCCTCCTTCACACTGACTTCTAGCCTTTCCTCCAATCGAATTCTGGCGTCTGTGCTACTTATTGGCTTCTGTGCTAGGTCCCATTGCCCTTCAAGTTTATTTGGCCACACCCTCTAGCTAAGTCCCGCAATTAACCTTCGCTCCCAGCCTCGCCCTCCAACCACCAAACCCCTGCCTTCCACCTGCTTCTCAAAGTTGCCCCGCCCCGTCCTTCTGTCCCGCACCTCAACCATGCCCCGCCCTCAAACCGCCCTCCAATCACCGTGCCTTGCCTTCGACCACCCCGCGCAAAATGCCCCTCCCTGCCTCCCAGCCCTGCCCATTAATCTGCGCCCTGCCTCCGGCCCTGCTCCTCAGTCACCACGCCCCGCCTCCCAGCCCCTTCTGCCTGTTACCCCACGCCCTGCCTCCCTGCTCGCCCCTCACCCCGGGCGGGTCCACCAGTCCCCCAGCGTGGTCCAGAGCGTGTTTTCACGTGGGGTGACGTTGTCCCGCAGCAGCGCCACGGCTTCGGATGTCAGGTGCGGGCGCCGCACGCTGCTCGCGAACTGGGGGCCGCCTGACGTGTCCACAATCTGCCAGAGGAGCAGGAGTGGAGGCGCCATCAGACCCTCCCTCTACAAGTCGAACCTCGATTCCTCCTGCTGCAGGGGGACCCGGGATCGGGGCGTGGGGGGGGGGTGTCTCACCATCTGCAGAGGTCCGAACAGGAAGTGCAGCAGCTCTGGGGAGGAGGGGTTGGCGATGTTGCTGCGCAGCCGGGCCTGCGGACGGTGCTGGCATTAGTCTGGGCACGGGTCATGCTCGCGCCCCCTGCCCTGGTGCCCCTGCCTGGAAGCGTCCTCACCAGCAGGCTGAGGGCGTACTTGATTTTCTGAAGCACGTCGATGTACTCGTCCTCGGAGGGCGGCTTCGCCCGCAGCGTCAGGAGGCCCTCTGTGGGTGGGGGAGGCGGGCGCGGAGATGGAGCGGGGATAGGTCGGGCAGGGTCAGAGAAGCAGGCCCCCAGTGGGATCGCGACGGGGAGTCAGGCCTGGTAGGGGGTCCGAGGGGAGGTGCTAGGGAGAGGGCGCGCATTGGGGAGTGGCCGTGGCTGCCCAGAACCCGCTCCCGTGCGCCCTTACCCCCGGCCGCCCGCCGCCGGTTCCTGCGGCCTCGCTCCCGGTGCTCCAGGACTCGGGCCGCCTCCGCAGACTTCTGCAGCCTCGATACGAAGCTCTCCACGTCGTCAAACACGTGGTTCAGGATGTCCTGGGGAGCAAAGAGTCCCGGACCCTCCCTCAGCACCCCAGATGAAGCCCTCAAGGCAAGAGCGCCAGGACACCCTTCCAGGCCAGGCCACGCCTCCGATGTGTGACCCCGCTTCCGCTCACACCTCAAGAAGCGCGACCACCCCCGAGAAACATCTCCGATGTAGGACCCCATAGCTGATCCCGCCCCCACGCCCTGGCCCCCCCTACTCGTTTACCACATCCCGCTCTGCCTGCAGACCAGCCAAGTCTGGGCCGCGGGGGCCCAGGTCCGGGGAGGCCGGGTCAGCTCCGGTAGAGCTGTGCGCCAGGCCGGGCCGCCGCGCCTCTTCCGCCTCGGGGATGGGCTCCACCTGGGGTCGCCCGCGGCCCGCGGCCGGCGCATAGGTGCTAATGACAGCGCGGACCGATGGGCGGCGCTGCAGAGGCGGAGTCTCGGCGGTCGGCGAGGGGCGGCGCAGCAGCTCCTCCTGCGTGGCCCTGCGGACCGATAAGGGACAACTTGGGTCTGGGAAGTATGAAATTCGAGGTTCAGAATTTCACACTATGGTTCAGAGGAGTCAGGCTCAGGGTGGAAGGAAGAAATCCAAGACATGGGGAGGGGAAGCACGTCTCTAGAGAGGAACCGAAGCCAGCGGGAGGAGAAATCCAGGACCAGAACCGGGAAAAGCAGTCTTGGAGAGGGAGCGCGCTTGTCTGGGAGGTACTGTCAAGATTGGAAACAGGCTATGCTTGACTCCATTCAAAACTCGTGTTCTAGGCTAGTGGCTTCAGCTATTTCTCGGATGGGGAGACTTGAGGCCCAGAATCCCCACCCATCCTCTCTTTTGCCCCGCTGCCCCCCCTTACCTGAGCGCCGCCGCCCTGCGCTCCCCGCGGCCGGAGCGGTAGTTGTGCAGGGCCCCCTGGATGTCCTCCCGGATCAGCTCCGCCTGCCAATCACGCCGTCAGGCCACGCCCCCGACCGCCCCGGTCACGCTCCCGATCGATTCCCTGGCACGGCTCCAGGCCACGTCTCGGGCCCGTTCACGTGGGCACTGTGCCCGCACACGGACACGCCGTGGACTCACATCCTCGCCCTAAACCGGCATCACCCTGGCCACGCCCCCAACCCCGGAGTTCCTGTTCCCGCGTTTCCTCGCCGCCCCTCCACCGCGCTCGCCCTAGTCCTAGTCTGGCTGCCCCGCAGTCCCTTTCCCACGTTCTGTCCACACACTGCCAGGCCCTTCCACCTCCATTCCGCCTTCACTTTCTGACCCGACCCTGTCCAAACTGTCCTCAAACCCCACTCCCCTCCACAGTTGCTTTCCAGGCCCGCCCCCTCCGCTGGCCCCGACCCCGCCTCTTTCAAGGTCGCTCCCATTCCGGGGCCCCGCTCCCTTCCCGGCCCGGCTCCAGACTCCGCGCAGGTCCGGCCTGGCTCCAGGAACACGCGGTCCCAGCAGAGGCCTGGGCGTGGTCCCGACCCCGGCGCGCTCACCCCGAGGCGCAGGCCCTGGAAGAAGTGCACGTCAGGCTGCGTGCGCTCCGGCTCCTGGCACACGAGCAGCAGCAGCGAGCGGCTCCGGCCGGGCGGCATCACCGCGTCACAGCGCACGATGGCGCCCAGCGGGTACGACTCCAGCTCCTCCTGTGGGACGGACGGCGGGTAAACTGAGGCCCGAAGCCGACGATACTCCTAAATGGCTACAGCAGTGCCAGCAAGTACGGGTACTGCGCAGGGCCACCCCGCGAGGTTAGGGACTCATAAGGGCTCAGAATGACACCCCCATTTAACAGATGGGGCTATTAAGGCTCAAAACGGGGGTACAGTGCCTTCCCAAAGTTCCCAGAGGAAGGACAGCAGGAGTCAGGATTCGCACTCAGGTCCCACGTATCCTCATGCCTCAGCCAGCTCCTTGCATCCACGTGCCCCTCGCACCTTGGAGACCGGGTCGAGCAGCGTGACGTGGTTGGGAGACACGCGCAGCAGCATCTCCTGGGCCCAGACCCGGCCCTGGCTGTCCATGACGGCCAGCTTCCGCGAGGCATCCTCCACCGTGTGCACGCCATCCTCCTCACCCAGGCAGAATGTCACCAGGTGCTGGCACGCACCACGGAGAAATGAGTACCAGGATGACCGCAGGCGGGCTCAGAATCCCCTGGAGTCAGCCTTCCAGCCTGACACTAACCACATCTCCTCCGGAAAGCCCTCCAGGATCTCCTGCTCCACTTACTGACGCCTCCTCCCAGTGCCCTTTTTGCTCTTTCGTCAAAGTTACTAGCACCTGGGTCTGTCTTCCCAGTGAGACCGGAGGCACCTTGAAGGCAGGGAACTGTCTGCATCCTATCTAGTCCCTGCTAAGTGCCTCTGCCCCCATTAAAGCACCTGGCCTACTTTGTTGGCACCTCTGGACCTTGTCTGATCCCTACGCAGCCAGGATTGCATTTGAATTGTCCCTGTGGCCCGACTGCCCAGCACAAGAGCCGGTCTGGAGAAGTCGGTGGATGTAAGTGGACCTGGGTCCTTGCACTGAACACCTGCATCTGAGCCAAGGTGGAGGAAGGCCATTCTGCAGGTGAGCATACTGTCTCTGGGCTCCTTCTGCTTGCAGGCCAGTGGCTCTCAACAGTGCCATCTCCCTGGGGCTCACCTTTCCATCCCGACAGTCCCTTTAGCAATGCAGACCCCAACTCACATTGACAAGATACTGGGAAACGTCGGCCATCACCACAGTGGAGTAACGCTTCCTCTGCTCTGTGGGATGGCGGGGGAGGAGAATGGATCTAGGGGTCCAGGTCCCAGCCCTCCTCCCTCAGAGTGGGAGTCCTGTTCTTGTCACACACAGACCCAGTTTCCTTGTCCCCAAACTCACCATAGATAGATTTGGCACTCGGTTTGGGGGCAGCTTCTGGGCTACAGGAGGAAAAGAGGGATAAGAGGGGCTGTAGGAATTGGGGGCAGATCACGGGGTTTTTAATGCCAAACAAGGCAGCAGCACCACATTGTGAGGGCAGTGGAAGGCGTGGTGGGCAGGGCAGCGATAGACTTTAATATGACAGGTACGGTGGTGGTACTTTCGGGGTGAGGTGGGGAGTGTGGTCTTCACTGTCACACAGTCCTGGATTCGAATGCCCTATCAGCTACTTCCTTGCCATAAGACCCTGTGTAGGAGACTTACTCTATCCTGCGTCAGTTTCCCTTTTTGTAAGGTAGGGGTCAGTTACCCTATAGCCCTCATCTGGTAGGGTATTGGGCGAATTCAATGAGATAATGCAATGAGAAGTTTCACAGCCTCAACCACTGTTATTATCATTCTTGTGATGATGCGAAGTGTTTAGCACACAGTAGTTGCTCAATAAGCAGGAATTCTACACTAGCATTAGTATTTGCAGTAGAGGGATAGTTTTCTTCTTCCCCTCCCACCCCTGCAGGCCAGGCTCTGCCCAGCCAGGTCCTCTCTCTCCTCCTGACCCTGACCTCCTCATAAAGCTCACCTTCTCCAAGAAGAATTCTTGGGTCTTATTCAGTAATAACAGGAACTCTGAGCTCAGGAGGGGTCAGGGACGCAGGCTGAAAACTCGGTCCGACCTCTGCCGCTCGGCCTGCTCCTGCTGCCCCAGCTCCCAACAGTCTGACTACCTCCGCTGCAGACCCACTGCTGCAGCTGTTCCCATGCGTCTGTCTCCCTGCTCACTCCAGGACGCCCGAACCTCTGCTGTAAAGAGCCTTGATTTTTTTCACAAAGGGTCAATATTTAATAGTAAGATAACAAGAGCAATAGCGGTTCCCAAGAGTTGAGCACCTGTTGGTGGTCAGATTCTCTGCTAAATCTTATACGGACACTATCCCATCAGCTTTCAGATCTGTCACAGAGGCTCAGAGAGGTGGCAGCCCTCAGCCAGGCTGAGTGTTAGTGGCTTGATTTGCACCCAGGTCTGTCTGCTCTGGAGCCAGAGCTCTAACTATAGGCTGGGGAGAGAAGGAGGCAGCCCAGGTGTCTCTCTGAGTGTTCAGGCCTGGCTGCTGGACATGCCAAATGGCCCTGCAGGTGAGGGGGTGGGGCCTGGGGGGTGGGGGTGCTTACCCTGTGGTGGTGCTCATGGTGCAGAGAATGGGGAGCTCCTTCCACCTGGAGGTGCCCTGGGAGCCAGCAAAGAGGTGAGCGCCTGACCTGGCCTGAGGGACCTATGATACTGGCCCTGGACTCCTCCCTCAGACCCAGGAGTCCAGGCCCCCAGCCCCTCCTCCTCCCTCAGACCCAGGAGTCCAGCCCCCAGCCCTCCTCCCTCAGACCCAGGAGTCCAGCCCCCAGCCCCTCCTCCCTTGGGCCCAGGAGTCCAGCCCCCAGCCCCTCCCCCCTCAGACCCAGGAGTCCAGCCCCCAGCCTCCCCCCTCAGACCAGGAGTCCAGCCCCCAGCCTCCTCCCTCAGACAGAAGTCCAGGCCCCCAGCCTCCCCCCTCAGACAGAAGTCCAGCCTCCAGCCTCCTCCCTCAGACCCAGGAGTCCAGGCCCCAGCCCCCTCCTCGCTCAGACCCAGGAGTCCAGGCCCCTAGCCTCCTCCCTCAGACCAGGAGTCCAGCCCCCCAGCCCTCCTCCCTCAGACCTAAAACACTAGCCCACAAGACCCTCAGGAATCCATGCATTCCGATCTCTAATCTATGCGTACCCGATTTTCTTCCTCTACTCAGGGATCCTGTCTTCCAGCCTTATCTTCTCAGTGGCTCAGGAATCCTGGCTCAGAACTCCGGCCCCTAACAGCCAAAGGGTTTTGACCCCAAGTCCCCTCAGAACTGCCCAATCCGACCCCTCAGTCCATGACCCTGTCCTCTGCCTTTAGCTGTCAGATCTCCTAGCCGTTTACCTGGGCAGGACTCAGGAGTTTCGGGCCCCAGCCGTTCCTGTGTCTGGACCCAGGAGCGGGGCCCCTGCTGGTCCTCCCCAAGCCCAGCGTTCCCACCTGCGGCCCTCGTCACTAGGCCCCCTCCTCACCTGTCGTCAGGCTCCGTCCACATGCACCAGCAGGCCCACTCTCCAGCTCCCCTTCTTCCAGGGGGCGGCCCCTCCCTCCTGCCCCCTCCCAGGGCCGGCGCCGCCTCCGCATACCTGAGCACTCACCTGGCACAGCCCGGCTGGCGCGGCCCTGGGTGGGGCTGGCAGGAAGACCAGCCTGGGTGCTGGGCAGCCTCCTAGCCAGAACCACATAGGCTCCATCGTAACAACACAGGAGCAATAACAAAAACTGTAACTTGTTGTCACACTTGTTCACACATCAGAATCAAAAGCTCTGTCTCACACACCTGCTTCGAATTCTCCTACTGTCTCTGGGAGGACATCCACTTGTTCACTTGTTTGTGGTCCGAGTGAGGGGTAGGCAGTGGGGAAGGGTGGGGTTTGAACCTAGGGCTCCTTCTAGCTCCAGGGCCAGTGTCTGTCCCTGCCTCATGCACAGCTCCTGTGGCTCCTGCCCGGCCCCAGCCCTCCCCGTTTCTCCCCTTGGGAATTTCCCACAGTAAACCCTGCTGATGTGGGGAGACCCCACTCCATGCCAGCACAGCTCCAAGCGCATCACGAGCACCAGCAGGAAATGTCCTTCAGAGAGCTTCCACTGTGCCAGGGTCCTTGCCAACCAAGTTATACTCAGCGTTTCTCCCCCAAACCTGGTGAGTGAGTGTTGGGGGGTCTCCATTTCACGGTGAGGATTCTGCAGCCCATGAGGCTTAAGTGACTTGCCCAGGGTGGCACTTATCAGAGGTGGATGAAGATGTCAGATGCCAAAGCTCAGCCCTCAGCCAGCAGGAGGACGGGTGGACATGCCCACCCAGCCTTTCCCTTGCCAGAGAGCCTCACCTGGCTCCAGCCATCATCACCACCCACCCGGACCTCCAGCAGCTCCCCCCGAGTGCTCCCCGCTCCCCCCCACCTCTGTCCAGCCTCGGACAGGGACTCCGCAGAAGCCTGTCAGCTGTGTCTCTCCTCTGCTCAAGATTCTTCCATGGCTCCTGTTAGTCCAGATGAAAGCTGAGGTCTGCAAGGCCCTAAGGGACATCCCCTAACCTCCTCTCCTCTCTCTCTCCAGCCCTCTCCTTCTGCACACTGGGCTCCTTGCTGCTGCTTGAGTGTGCAGCCGCGTTCTGCCTCAGGACCTCTGCACTTGCTGTTCCCTCTGCATGGAATGCTCTTCCCACAGATGTCCTCACCTGTTGTCCCTTCCTCTCTTTGGGTCTTTATTCGAATGTTACCTTCTCAGAGAGGCCCGGCTGGCAACTGCATTTAAAATTGCAGCTCCTCCACTGCTTCCTAGTCTCTCCCATGTACCTATTTAATTTTCTCCACAGCATTTAGCATCTTCTAATGCACTGGATTGCCTGTTCATTTGTTTATCTTATGTCTCCCCTGTTAGCATGTAAGCATCATGAGGGAAAAGACTTTTGTCTCTGCATCTCAGCACCCCATCTGTAAGATGGGGGTCACAGTGTTGGGAGGGGTAAATGAGGTCTTAGAGGGTCTTAGCACAGGACCTGGCAAAGAGGAAGCACTAGGGCAGCGTCAGCAGCAATGGGGAGGTGGGGCTTCCCTGCCACCTTATTCCAGTGGAGGACACAAAGGACAGGTGGGAACCCAGGGAGGCTGCTAGGACAGTCACAGCAGGCTTCCTGGAGGAGGAGGGGGCTGCCGGAGCTAAATCTGAAGGGCAAATTTGGCAGCCCAAGGGGACCTAGAGGAGAAGGGCTGAGTGTTCCAGGCATGGAGCTCCCTGAGCTGCAGAAAGGTAGACAGGCCAGTGTGGTGAGCACGCTGTGTGCTGGGTGGGTGGTTCTCGACCGTGCCGCAGGAAGAGGCTGGGGGTCCTGTGCATCTCTGTTTCCACCAGCTTCTGTCACTCTGTCCCTGTCACGTCCATGCCACAAATGCTTTCTGAGCTTGGCCCTATCTGGGTTGGGGTCTCAGGGAAGGAATAAACCCCTTATCCTCTGTGAGGCAGTTACGGCCGAAATTGCTACTCTACTGACAGAGGAAGAGACAGAGGCTCAGAGCAGGGAGGCCATTAGCTGAAGGTCACCGTGGCCCTGGGCTGTGACAGAAATGCAGATCTGGCTGACCCAGGCCCTTCATGTGCAGGTGGAGAAGACCTTTCTCATGAAGGTGGGAAGCAGGAGCCTGGGCCTGAGGGAGGGGGGCTGGGGGCTGGACTCCTGGTCTGAGGGAGGGGCCGGGGGCCTGGGTCCTGGGTCTGAGGGAGGAGGGTGGGGCTCTGTGCAGGCGCCCCAGGCCCGCCCCTCATGCTCCGTGGTCTGGCTCAGCAGATGAGGCCGAAACTGGAGCCTCCGCCCTAGTTCTGGGCCCCGCACCTCTTTCCTCCTTCCTTGGCCACAAAGGAGGAGGCCCCTCCCTCCCTCTAAACCATCCAGCTCCAGATTCCAGGGGAGGCTCCCACGTGCACACCTGGCTCAGTCCGTCCCACGTGGACACCCTTTCCAGCCCACGGCCTCCCACTCTGTCGTGACTGTGACTTTCAGGGAGTGGATGTTAGGTTCTGACTTTGCTCCTGGCTCCAAAATGGCACGGCTTTGTCATTGGCGACCAGACTATTTATTCTCGTGTTGGGGGGACCCGGGAACCAAATAGAACTGTACACCCAGGCTTGGTAAGATAGGATCCCCCATGTGCTGGTCTGAAACCACCCCAATCTCTTCCCAGTCCCCCTCTCCTAATGCATACTCCACCCCCCGACACCCCATCCACCGACTGTAGATAAGGTGGGATCTGGGTCTCAGGGAGACATATTTACTTATAATTTAATTATTTTATTCATTCCATAAATGGCTCCCAGATCCAATTTGTGCCTAACCCTTTGCCCTCAGTAAGAGTCTAATTGGGAAGTAGACCCTGCTGGCACCCCAGTCATGATTCACAGTGACATATGCACTAATGGAGGTGGCAGAGGGCATTGAGTGTCCCCGGAGGGGCCCTTATTCCAGCTTTGTGGTGGCTGTGTGAGGCAGTCAAAGTAGCCTTCCCTGGTTAAGTGATAACTGGATAGGGTTCTTAAGGATGAGTAGGAGTTTGCCAAGGAAGGTGCATCAGGGAATGACATTCTAAGCATGGGGAGTGACATATGCAAACTCCTGAAGTCAGGTACTTGCAAATACTGAACAACCTACTGTGTGACAAGCATGTTCTAAGTGCTGGACAGATGAAACTCCTGCCCTTGTGTCACTGCCATCCTGGTGGGTGTGGTGGGGAGACTGAAGATAAACAAGCAGGCACTTAGATGAATGAGACTTCCTGGTTATGGTAGATACAATGGAGGAAATAAAGAGGAAGTGATGGAGTGACAGTGGGGGCGGGGGGACAGGCTGGTGTGACTGCTTCAGGTGAGGTGCAGGGATGGCCTTTGTGAGGAGGAGGCATCTGAGCCCCGACCTGAATTTCGAGAATGAGCCAGGAATGCGGGGAGGGTTTCAGGCTGAGGCAACACCTGGGGGAGGCTGGCGATTACAGCCTGTTGGGGTGTGGCTGGCTGGAGGAGGTGGTACTGGAGACAGAGCCCTAAGGCCGGCCACGATGTTGGTTGGCAAATGAGAGCGCGGCCAGACTCCAATGCGAGTGGTTTTGCCCCAAGCCTGAACCTCAGGAAGCTCCCAGCTGGCTCAGGGAGGCGCTCCCCAAGTGCGACAGTGGAGGTGGTTCAGGTGGCGTGGCAGCCCCGAGGTCCCCTCCCCACACCCCCGGGCTGTGCGGTCGGGGCAGGTAGGCCCGGGAGGGGTGGGGGCGGCGCCGGCCGCAGGGTGGGTCTGGGAACCGGCCTGGCCGGAGGAGGAGGGAGGAGGCGGGGCCGTGCTGTTTGCTCCCTGGGAGGGAGCAGGGTGGTGTGGGCAGCCCTTTCCTGGCACAGAGGAGCCCGGCTCAAGGCTGGAGCCGGGCTCCGGGGCTCTCTGCCTGGAAAGGACTCAGACTTGAGTTCGGATCCTGAGTTGGAACAAGAGACTCTTACTGTCTGTAGAATGAGCAAAAGTCTCAGGACCTGTGTAAGGCTGGTGCAAGAAGCCACGAGAAGTCCCAGAACAGGGCGCAGTGCTCAGCGGCTTGGTGACAAATAGGCAAAGAAATGAACCAACAACTAAATGACTAGGGTGACATGTGGTGACAAGGGACGGCCCTGCAGCCAGCCAGCCAGGTGTTACGGTGGCTGCTCTGACGCCTCAGCGATGGGCTGCCTCGGGTCCCCAGCTCCAAGCTTCCAATGACCATTTCAGGACATTCATTCATTCAACAAATATTTGCTAAGCACCTACTGTTCTAAGTACCAGGGATCTCACAAGTCCCAAGGGTCCCCTGAAGTTTACATTCTGGCAGAAAACAAAATGAAAAAAACTGTAGAATGTAGGATGGCGATGATGTGGCGGAGGATATCAAAGCAGCGCAGGGGCCCAGGGAGGGCCCGGCAGGTGTCTGGGAGTTTTAGTGAAAAGTTAGTGTGGCTGAGGAAGGCCTCCCGGAGAAGGTGATATTTAAGCGAAGACCTGGAGGGAGTGAGGTGTGGGGCTATCTTGGGAAGGATTTCTAGGCAGCAGCAGTGGCCAGTGCAAAGGTCCTGAGGAGGGAGCGTGTCTGGTGTGTTCCCACAGCAAGGCCCCCGTGTCTGCGGTGGAGGGGGGCTGGTGTGGGGGCACCGAGTCAGAGAGGTCGTAGGGTGGGTATGGGTTCTCAGGGCCACTGTGAAGATCAGAGAGAGGGGGAGGCTGCAAAAGGGTTTTAATCAAGTTTTTTTAAAAAGTTCATGTAAAATTAGCCATCTGAAAGTGAAGAACTCAGTGGCATTTAGAACCTTCAAAATGTTGTGCAACCATTACCTCTGTCTAGTTCCAAAAAGTTCTCATCACCCCAAAACAAAGCCCCCTGCCCATTAGCAGCCACTCCCCATTCCTCCTGACCCCCAGCCCCTGACTCTGTCTGTATGGATCTGCTTGTTCTCAACATTCCGTGTATGCTATGTGACCTCATAGCGTTTTTGAGGTTTGTACATGTTGTTTTGATCAAGTGTTGGAATAACTGAAGATTTACAGAAATGTTGCAAAAGCATGCAAAGAATTCCCATACACCACACCCTGTCCCATAGAGGTTAACAGTGAAGATTAATGCTCTGGCTTTATCCTTTCTGCCTTCTCTCTGTCTCTCCCTCATGCACACATTTTTTTCCTGAACTGTTTGAGTCACTTGCTCATCTGATATCCCTTTACCCCTAGAAACTTTAAATATATTTCCTAAAAGCAGCAGATATGTAGAGATGGTGAGAGGCAGAGTGAATCGGGTGCTGTAAGCCTTCTGATGGGGAAAGCCTAGGGCATATGGTGGGAGAATTCTCTCAGCACCTGGGACAGCAGCCAGCACTGATGGGGAGTTTATCAACATCAACAATGATAAACGGGTTCATAGCCTACCTGGTGTCCAAAGACAGAGTCTAAACACCTCAGCGGGGGGGGATCTGGGAACCAAGTGGGAGGTCCTTAGGGGAAGGAATTTGTATGTATTGTCCTTAGAATACAACATTAACAACCAGCAATATTCTGGCGCTTCCAGTGTGTTTTGGCCACGGGAATTACTTTGTGTCATCCTTCCAAGCTCTACAAGGAGCCAGCACACTATGGCCCACTGCTTGTTTTTACAAAGAAAGTTTTTTTGGAACACAGCTACTCTCATTTGTTTGCTTGTCGTTTCGTCTGTGGCTGCTTTCCTGCTGTAATGGCAGAAATGTTGCAACAGGGACTGTATGACCCACCAAGCCGAAATTATTTACTCTCTGGTCTTTTGCAGAAACCCCTGCCCTAAAGCCCAGTTTACAAAACAGGAGAAAAAAGCTCTGAGAAGGAACGATTTATTTAAGGTTCAAAGATCCAGCAAATGAACACAGGGCTTGTGTTCTTTTTCTTTTTAATTGTGGTAAAATACACATAACATGAAATTTACCATCTTAGCTATTTTTAACCATTTCTTTGGCATTAAGCACACTCACATTGCTGTGCCACCATCACCCCCATCCATCTCCGGAACTCTTTTCTTCATCTTGCAAAAGTGAAATACTGCTCCCATTAACCGACAACGCCACATTTCCCATCTCCCCCAGTCCCTGGAACCCACCATTCTACTTTATGTCTCTATGAATTTGTCTCCTCTAGGGACCTGCTTTGAGTGGAATCATACAACACTTGTCCTTTAGAGACTGGCTTATTTCACTGAGCATGATGCTCTCTGGGGCCACCCATGTTGTAGCAGGTGTCCTTTTCAAGGTTGAATAGTATTCCACTGCATGGGTACACCATGTTTTATTTCTGCATTCATTCATTAATGGACACTTGGGCCACTGCACCCATGCTCTTAAACACTGCCCTCCACCTTCTCATGGGTAGCTTCACAAGGAAAAAGCCATCATCCGAGCATAATGAGAAAATGTGGATAAACAAAAAGTGAAAACAATACAATCACCCACCACTCTGCCTTAGAGACTCTGCCCAGAATATTAGTGTTTTTTCACTCTAAAAATATACACATTAGTATATAAACTTGAAAAAAGAGAATCAGCTTGCTTCCCCTACCCCCATATTGCTGGTTAATAAAGAAATGCTTGGATGTTCTTAAAAGTTTCAGCCTGATAAAGTTGCAGACAGTCCGTCCAGAAACATGGAAGGATGAACTAACTTTTTCAGTCAGTGTCAGGGGATCTGTGAGGCAGAGACCTTGTTGTCTTATTGTGTAATTCTCATGGTCTAGGTCAATGCCTGGGATACAGTAGGTGCTCATTAAGCAATTGTTGCAAGGAGTATAGGAGTAGGCATAGGAGGGGGTAGTGCCACTCAGCTACTGATAGACATTGAGGCTGATTTTATTTGCGCCTAGTGTATCGCTATTATAGAGAGTGGGGCAGTGAGGAACATTTTCCTATGTATATTCCTTTCCAAATGGCCAATTATTCTCTTTGCAGAAATCCTTCAAGGGGAATGGCTGAGTCAAAGATATGCACAGATGTTTAGCCACATATTGCTGAACAGCCTTTCAGGAAGGCTGTATTAATGGACACACCCACCAGCAGGTGTGTGTACCTGTTTTACCACATACTTGCCAACACTGGGTAATATCATTGTTTTGATCTTGCCAATCTGATAGGTGAAAAAATACCATCTTTTCATTATCTTCATGAGCACTTCCTTGATTTCTGGTAAGTTTCATGTTGTTGACTTTCGGTGGAAATGGCCTGTCATGCCCTTTGTGTATGCTCCCCTCTCCCTGTTGGAGCAGGTGAGCATTTGTTTTTTTTATTGATCTGTAAAAGCTCTTTACATACTAAGGATACCAACTTGTCATTTTGGGGGTTGGGAAGAGTCAGAACTTGAGAGAGGAAATCACATCTAAGTAGAAGTGGAGCAGGAATTTGAAACAAGATCTGTCTAGACCCATGTCTGGGTTCTTTACCACAGCCACCATATGGCACCTTCCCTTTTCCTAGGCTTTTCCCCTTTAGTGGCCTAGGAGCCCTTTGATCTCAGAAAGGGGAGGCCCCTCCTGCCAGGCCCGGCCACCCTTGCCACATCTCTAACAGTGAACCTATTCTTTGGTTTGTTAAGTAGATTAAACACTTGGTACATACTAATTATTCAGTAAATAGTAGCTGTTATTCCTTGTTTTTTGTTCTCTTCAGCCATATCCTTCTGCCAGCTGTCTTCCCCTTCAAGCCAACCTCCTAGCATCCCAAACATCTGTCACTCTCCAAGCAACTTGCCTTGTGGCTCCTAGTATTTACATAAACTGTTTCACCTAGTAAAAACCCAGCCAACTTAGTTGGCTCTCTCCTCTTGATGTCCTTGAAGAACTCCTACTCATCCTTCAAAACCCTATTTAAGTTTCCCCTCCTCTGGAGTGTCTTCCCTTACTCCTAGGCTGAGTCTCCTCCAAGAAAAGATCAGGGCTGTTGTGTTCCCTTTGGGCACCCTGTGTCAGGGAGAGCATACAGAATTCATGGTTTTTGGGGCAATACAGAAACAAGATACACCTCTCAAAGAAAAAAAAAAAAGCTCCAAAATGCAAAAGCTGCAAAAAGTGAACACATTTCATTCTCCCTCAAAACAAAATATTACATAAACTGTACTGTCAAATCCAATATTCAAAAACCTCTTGGGACATTTGAAACAAGTTATCAGTCAGATATTTTTCATTTCTTAAGAATTCTCAGGTATGTTGGTTGATTGTTGATAAACCCAATCTCATCATAATCAAATGACATGCTTGTGACCAACTAATTTCCAAAACAAAATTATAGACATCTTTTCAGGTTTTTTCCTCTTTAGTTAACTTTATTAACATATCATTTACATGCAATAAAATTCTCTGTTCTTAAGTCAGCACACTGATGAGGTTTGACAAATGTATGCAGCCTTGTATATATCTGCCAGTGTGATTAAAGTAGAGACCATTTCCAAAACCTCAAAAACATCCTTTGCAGTAATCACTTCCCTGGCCACCTCTGTCCCGGCCACTGATCTCGTTCTTTCACTAGGTTTCTCTTTGCTGGACTGTCGTATAATGAGCCGTAGACATGTCGTCTATAGTCTCTGTCTTTGTCCTCTCAGCATAATGCTTGTGTGGTTCATCTATGTCATTGCAGCTATTAGTAGTCCCTTCCTTCTAATTAACAGTCCACTGTATGAATTTACTATAACTTACTTATATCCATTCAGCTGTTGATGGACATCTGGGTTGCTTCCACATTTTGGATTTTACGAGTGGGATAGGTTGAGTTCTCCTCCTCCTCCTTCCCCGCCCACACGAAGTCCTAACCAGCAGTACCTCAGAACGTGCCCTTATTCGGAAATAGGGTCTTGCAGGTTAATTAGTCAAGATGAGTCATATTGGAAGAGTGGATTCCTCCTCCCTCAGACCCGGGAGCCCGGGCCCCGCCCCTCCAGCAGCCCCAGCTCCCGGCCACGCCCCCGGCCCCGGAAACTACCATTCCCAGCAGTCGCTGCGCTCGACTCCGGCCCTGTAGTCCCCGCCCCTTCCGGAAGCGCAGTCCGTGAGGCCCTGCCACACGTGGACGTGGGCCGCGTGGAGCTGCTCGTCTGCGTGGGAGCCGCGCTGCGGGCATGAGCCGCTACCTGCTGCCGCTGTCCGCGCTGGGCACGGTGGTGGGCGGTGCCGTGCTGCTCAGGTGAGGGTGCCGGCCGGCGGCGCGGGGTGGGGTCGGGAGGGAGCGCAGCGTGCTCGCGTCAGCTCCTCGCCGGCGCGCCGTGCCCCGCCGCCCACCAGCCGTGCTCCCGCGGCGGGGCATCCCCGGGCCGACTGCCGGTCGCGCCAAGGTCGCCCGGGGAGGGGCCCGATCTTGTGAACGTCTTGGTCTAGGGGCTTCCGTTCTTTTACTGATTCCTCCACTCGGCGTGTATTTACCGAGCAGTTCGCGTACGCCACTTGCTGGCCCAGGAGCAGGGACGCCGTTTGCCACCCAAGTTGTCGTTACCCGAAATTCGAGAGACAGGATCGTCCAACTCAGGAAACGAAAAAAATCGAATTGCCCGGGACTTATACATAGTTCTTGTCTTTACCTTAAAAACAAACAAATCCGGCCCCACTTACTAAGTTTTCTTTGTTAAGAGGGTAGATTTCATGTTAACTGTTCCTACCACAATTTTTAAAAAAAGATTAGCAACATATAATTTTATTATAGGTACATAATAGAAAAAATTGGCTGGGAGTTAGGTCAAAATAATTTGAATATTGAAAAACTTTTTAATTAAATATGACTAAATCTCTTTGAATATCTCTTTGGGTTTATCCATCTGCTCTAAGATGAAGCTGCGTTTTGAACCTGTTCCTCCTGGTCTGATAGTCCTTTTCATTTAGTTGACTGGTATCTTGTTATTTATAATGCATTAAACTAGGCTCTGTGATATTAACTAGCTTTTTTTGAAAGCGCTAGAAAAAAACAGTTCTGCCTTGTAATAAAATTCATTGGATGCTGTTTTTATTGCTACCCATATACTGTTGTCTTTAGTTCTGAAAAAACTAAAGATAAATAAGTAAATAAAGTACCAGCATGGCAAGAAGGAAGGGAACTGGATGTCCTGGTGGAAGAAATATGCTATTTATTTTTCAGTAATTTAAGTGGAAAATTAGTCCCAAGTGGTGGTGGCTATCACTTGGTACAGTGAGTTGTGTCATGTGGGGACAGCATGTTTATTTGGCCAGTTCCCTGCTTGTGACATTGGCTTCATTGCAGAATTTAGCCTATGGAATATGGGTGAAGCAAAGAATGGGGGTGGCTCTTAGAGCAGGAGAAGGCACCGGAGCACATTTCCCCGCACCAGGAACCCAGCCCTGCCCACCCCTTGCTTTGATCCCAGGGAGGCCCTTTTGGACCCTGTCCAGCAAGCAGGTGGGGAGCGTACACTTGCGTGGTTTCACCCAGGGAGCTGTGGTGGTTTCTTAAAGCAACCCTGGGAAATGCATACAGAACGACTGTATAAAATGATGGTCACTTCTTGGAGGCTGTGCGGCGCCCTTTGCCTGCAGCCTGGTAGCTGCCCCATGGAATCTTTCAGTTGGGGGAACACCAGCTCAGAGGGGTCACTGCTCAAGAACCCTTGACTCGGAGGGGTCGGGGATACCAGCAGTGACTGGACAGACAGATGGAACTGACCCGTGGTGTCCTCATTTTCAGGGACTATGTCACCGGCGGGGCCTGTCCCAGCAGGGCCACCATTCCCGGGAAGACCGTCATAGTGACGGGCGCCAACACGGGCATCGGGAAGCAGACGGCCTTAGAGCTGGCCAAGCGAGGTGAGGTCCTGGTGGGGGCATAGGTCTGGTGATGAAGGGTGAGCTTTCCCCGGGGGGATGTCAAGGTCATGTGATTGTTTTGTATGCACTTGGCAGAAACGGAACTCATGGGGAGCAGTGCCCTCAGCACATGCAGATCAGATCTTCCCAAGTAAGAATTGGTGGGGTTTCCTGGCAGGTCAGGCACCAGAGGGAGCAGCTAGGGTTTTTGGTCTGAGCATCTGGGCGAGCTGGGCTGGGATGGCTGCAGCAGGGCCAGTGTGAGTGTTGGGGGAAGTTGGAAACTTTCTTTGGGTTCACGTGTTGGGGTGGCCAGGGCAATGGGTGCCTGGTGGACCAGGCCCGAGCTGCTGTCCCCCCAGGGGTCCCAGCTTGGAGGGCCTGGGATGGGCAGGCCCCACCACCACATAGAGTTTCCCCGTAGGAGGGGCATGGGGAGAGGGTGAGAAGGGAAATTGGGTTGGGAGGGCAGACCCACCCGACCTGAGGGCCCGGCTGCCATGCCATCCAGAAGGGCGAGCAGATTTGGTCTGAGGAGTCCCATTCTGGGTGACGCAAGGGGGCCCTGGGGTGCGTAGGACGCAGCTGGGTCTGCCTGGGTTGGGTTAAGCCACAGAGATCCGCATGGTCAGCATCATTCACCCATCCTCAAAATCCCTATTCTTTCCTAATTAAAAAAGAATTTTTTTATGGCTGTTCTGAGATTTAAGTCACGCACCACACAGTTAACCCATTTAAAGTGTATGTCAGTGATTTTTAGGGTGGTCATAGTTGTGCAGCCTTCACTGCTTTGAATCTTAGAACATTCTCATCACCCCAGAGTGACCCCTTGACCCTCCTAACCATCACCCCTAATTCCCCCTCCCGAAACCATTCACCTGCCTTCTGTGGATTTGGCTGTCTGGACATTTCGTATAAATGGGATCGTATACCTTTTGTCTGGGGTATGTACACCTAGGCATGGATCTTTTATTTTAAAAGAATGTTTTTCCCGTTTGGGTTTCCAGGAGGCAACATCATTTTGGCCTGTCGAGTCCTGGAGAAGTGCGAGGAGGCAGCAAGAGAGATCCGCGGGGAGACCCTGAATCACAGCGTCCGTGCCCGGCGCCTGGACCTGGCCTCCCTCAGGTCCATCCGAGAGTTCGCAGCCAGGATCATTGAAGGTAGGAGGGGGGAGCTGGCCTTGCAAGGGGCCGTCCTGGGCAGCCAGGCTCTGAGGAGCCATTAAAGCAGGCGCATCCCAGAGCGGGGTTTTGGCAGACAACGACCCACTGGCCAGGTTCCGTCACCGCCTGATGTCATACACTCTACAGGGGAAGATTTTACAGTTCCATCTTTTCTGACATTTTCACACTTGATATTTTACAGGTGTAAATGGCTGGAAAAAAATCAAAGTAATGTTTTACGCTACATGAGTGTTGTGTGGCCTTCATATTTTAGTTTCCATCAAGTTTTATTGGCACACAGTCAACGCCCCTCGGTTTACCTGTTGTCTGGGTGCTGTGTTCCGGTGATGGCAGAGTCTAGTAGAGGTAGACCAGAGGGCCCCCAAAGCCAAAAATACTTGCTGTCTGGCTTTTTATGGAAAATCTTTGCTGACTTTTCGGCAGGAAAACAAATTCCTTCTGTGTTAGCGTGGATCCAAGAAGCAGAGGCCAAGATGGGATTAGATGTGCGGGGAGGTGCAGGGTGTTTGCCAAGGAAGAGGGCTGGAAACACTGATTCCTGTGGTGTTTCCGGAGTGTCTGGTCCAGCTGGTGACACGGCCGTGACAATAAGCACACAGGCGGAGGATCCGCTGCACAGCGCACAGGGCCGGAATGCGCCCTTTGCTAGATGTTTCTCTTTGCAAGTCCAGGGGCTAGGCTGGCATTTTCTGCACTTCTGTCACATTGACTCATGACTCATTCTTGTCGCTTCCCACCAGGGGTTCTCAGAACTGTTTATGTATTAACTTTTTTGAATGGGAATAACATCTACAGGATTAAACGTTCAGAAAGTACACACAGGGATACCGCAGACCTGTCCCCCTGCCGCGCCTGCCCCTGGCCACCCTGATGCCTTCCTCAGATGAGTTCCATGCCCACTTCTGTGTGTCCCCTTGGGGACAGTTCCTGCATTTCTAAAGCAAGCAGGAATTATACACCCATTTTTGCTTTTTTATACACATTGTAGACACCCGGTGCCATCCTGAGCTTTTTCTCTTGAGGTGGCGGCACCAGAGCATCCTCCTCCTTGTGGCTGCCGTGTACTCTGTCTGCGTCTCGTACTCTACATTGTGTTCCCCCATCATTGTGTTCCCCTGCATTGTGTTCCCCTGCATTGTGTTCCCCCATCATTGTGTTCCCCCATCATTGTGTTCCCCCATCATTGTGTTCCCCAGCATTGTGTTCCCCCATCATTGTGTTCCCCAGCATTGTGTTCCCCCAGCATTGTGTTCCACCTGCATTGTGTTCCCCCATCATTGTGTTCCCCAGCATTGTGTTCCCCCAGCATTGTGTTCCACCTGCACTGTGTTTTGCTTACATTCTATTCCGTGCATGCTGCGTACCACCCATGTTGTGTTCGGCCCACCTTGTGTTTCCCCAGCGATGTGCTCTGCCCGTGGTGCTGGCTGGTTGGCTTTACCAGCCCTCTGTTAATGGCCTTTGGCTCACTTCCAGTCTTTTGCTGCTGTGAGCATCCTTTGTCCATATTGCTCACATGTGAGGGTGTTTATAGATCTTGAGAGTCTCTTCCTCTCTGCTCAACTCAGTGTTAAATGAAAGCAGGCCAGCTAGCCAGAGACAGAGGAATTGTTGCCAAGAAAAGATGGAGAAATAAACATTCAGTGAGTGTTTTGTTTTTTAACCTCCTAATGCAAAGAAACACATGTTCCTTACAGAGAAGTTATAAAATACTGAACAGCATAAAGAAGAAAGGACTGAGCACCTTGATTCTACCCCAGCCCCCAGGGAGTCAGTGTTAACCTTTTTTGCACCGTGATGGCTTCATTTTGAAACTTAGCTGTTATTTCAGGACAGTCAGTCGTCCACATTGAAGCCAAGTAGAGAGGCTGGGAGTGGGACCTCCCTCGCATCTTGGGGAACTGTGCTGCCCACACCTCCATCTTCCAGCCTCCAGCACACAAGGCTGGTATATCCCTGCTTAGCCCCCAGCACATGGTGCTTGGTTAGGGCAGCCCCAGCTAATGATGTGGGGGGAAGGCACTCTTCTCTCATTCCTCCCATTTTACAGACAAGGACACACGCCCGAGAGGGACGTCAGCCTGTGCAGGTGGCGTGGCGGGTGTGGGAATCAGACTTAGGTTGTCTGCTGAGAGTTGGTGCGTCCATGAGAAGCCCCAGCTGGAGGCTCCCAGGTCCCTGCAGATGTGGCTTTTTCCCTTTTTTAGGAAGGGTTTCCAAGCCTTAGGTGGGGTGTGTTGTTTCCTGGGGTAGCCATATCACGGTACGGTAACAGTGGCTTAAAACAACAAAAATCTCTTCTCTCCCAGGCCTGGAGGCCCCAACCTGCAGTAGGGTTGTACTTTCTGAGACTCTGGGTAAAATTCTTATCGTCTCTTCCGGCTTCTGGGGATGGCCGTCAGTCCTTGCTGTTGTAGGTGCATTGCTCCAACTCTGCTTCCGTCGTCACACCATGTTCAGTGTCCAGATCTCCTCCTATAACCAAGGACACCAGCGTTGGATTAGGGCCCACTCCATGACATCTTAATTTGATCACTTCTGCAAAGACTCTAATAAAAGGTTCCATCCACAGTGTCTGGGTGGACACGAATGTCTCGGGGACACAGTTTGGCCTAGTGCTGGGGGCTCTTCCCCCGACTGCACTGCATGGAACTGACACGCTTGCCCTCCGTTCACCCCGTCTTCCAGAGGAGGAGCGAGTGCACGTCCTGGTCAACAATGCGGCCGTCATGCGGTGCCCCCACTGGACCACTGAGGACGGCTTCGAGATGCAATTTGGTGTTAACTACCTGGGTGAGGCTGTGGGCCAAGGACTGTATGGTGTCACTGGTGTATGGTGGGCCTGGGACATGAGTGGGGTCTCCAGTGGGCCGTTCATGGGCTCTGTGGGGAGGTCCTCCTGTACTCCCCTGGGTGCTTAGTGGGTGGGTAGCCCATTCATTGCTAGATGCTCAGCCAACCCTCTGGATTTCCATGAGGCCCTTGGGCTTTGTCTGTCTGTCCTTCAGTTGCTCTGTCGTCACCCTGAATGCAGCTGGAAGTGTTAGGGAGGGTCAGCGGGATGGGAGTTGGGGAGGCCCCAGCCATCCTGGATGAGAGCCCACTCTGATGGCTTCATTGTCACACCATTACCTCTGTAGAGACCCTTCAAATATGGTCACGTCCTGAGATCCTAGAGGGTAGGACTTCAACACCATTTTTTGGGGGGTCTTGTGGGGTGCTGATCACCCCATAACACTCACACTGTCATTCATGGCTTATTGGCTGGGGTTCAGTCACATGACCCGATGAAGCTGCAAGGGCCTCTGGGAAACATAGTCTTTCAGGGGGAGCCTTGTGCTCAGCGAGACCTTCTGTCACTGAGGAAGAAATGGAGAAAGGATTTTGGGAGACAGCAGGCAGGGAGAGCCCCCAGGTGACCTCTCTGGGCTATCAGGGGCGTGCTATTTGGGCCTGGACGGTCCTGTACAGTGAGGCGGCCCTGGGCTCTGGAGGCTGAGCAGCCCCCCCGGGCTCTCTGCTACATGGCGGTAGCCTTGCTCTTTGCTCCGCAGCTGTGACCGCTAGAGTGGCCTCCAGACACTGGCAGTGCCATCTGTCCTTGGGGGGCAAAACTGGCCCCTGTTGAGAGCTGTGCATTATTCGGAGGGCAGACCCAGTATGGACCTGCCCACATGGTGGGGGTTCAATGAAGTTGTCCTTTTGTTTTCCCCAGGTCACTTCCTGTTGACACACTTGCTGCTGGACAAGCTGAAAGCCTCAGCCCCTTCTCGGATCATTAACCTCTCGTCCTTGGCCCATGTTGCTGGGCACATAGACTTTGATGACCTGAACTGGGAGAAGAAGAAGTACGACACGAAGGCTGCCTACTGCCAGAGCAAGCTGGCCGTCGTCCTCTTCACCAGGGAGCTGAGTCGGCAGCTGCAAGGTGTGTGTGTGTGTGTGTGTGGCAGGCCGCGCGGCCTCCCTCTTCCCTTGGCTCTGAGCCCGGGGCAGTCCGCTGTGACCCGGGCCGATGAAGGTCAAGCACTGGTTCCAGAACAGAGCAGGCAGATGTGTGACACGCGTACCACTGTGTGTGTGTGTGCCTGAAGCAAGCATCACTAATCAATCACGGCATTTTTCCTGCTCATCCTGGACAGGCATCTAAGCCTTCGGTGCTCTAGGCTGGTGGTTCTCAACTATGCATGATCGGCACACCTGGGGGACATTGGACAGTATCTAAAGATGTCTTTTGGCTGTCACATTGGGGAGTGGGGGTGGGTGGGTGCGTGTGCTGCTGGCATCCAGTGGGTAGACATCAGGGATGCTGCTGAGCCCCTACCGTGCACAGGATAGAGAATGATCTGACCCCAGTGTCTGTGGTGCCAAAGTTGAAAAGTCTGCCCTTTGCCCTTGCCTCCCAGACGGTCTGCTCAGCTGGAGCTTGTCATCACTGCAGCATCTCAGACCCCATCCTGACCCACTGCTTCAAATGCTCTTGGGTGTGGTGGGAGCTCAGTGGCCTGGAGTTCTCCAGCCCTTCGGGTGATTACACACAGCTGGGCAGTTATGTGACTTGTCATATGACTTGATGTAGAAGTTTCAGAACAGGAAGGGTGATGTGGATTCCAGGCAGGAAACAGCAGTTTGGGGGCATCCAACGCTTGGGCGGCGGGGGTAGCATGAGCCTTCCTAAGAAGCCGTGGATCTGGCGTCTGCCTGCTCCCCCTGCCCACTTTTTCCGTCTCTCCCCAGGCACTGGCGTGACTGTCAATGCTCTGCACCCTGGCGTGGCCAGGACAGAGCTGGGGAGACACACCGGCATGCACAGCTCTGCCTTCTCCAGCTTCACGCTTGGTAAGTACCCCCCCAAGTCTGGGGCCCCTTAGCTGGATCCATGCCCTCCCAGCTTGGGGCCCAGGACCCCCCCTTGGATTAGTTGGGGTTCTGTGGAGAAACAGAACCAATAGGATATATATACATGTTTAGATACTGTGAGGGATCGGCTTCCGTTACGGAGGCTAAGAAGTCCTGTGACCTGCCCTCTTCCCGCTGGAGGCCCGGAGAGCCAGGGTGCAGGCCCGGTCCAAACGCGAAGGCCTGAGGACCGGGGGAGCTGACGGTGTGGGTCCCGGTGCAGCTCTAAAGGCCGGGACCGCGGTGTCTGAGGGCGGGCAGGGGGCGTCCCGCTCAAGCAGAGAGGGAGGGAGTCTGCTTTCCTCCGCCTTTTTGTTCTGTTCTCACCTCCAGCTAATTGCGTGGTGCCTACCCACACCGAGGAGGGCACCTCTCAGTCTGTCAAGGTCACCCCCTTACAGACGTGCTCTCTGTTTTATCAGCTCTTTAGGCCTCTCTCAGCCCAGTCAAGTCAGACTCTCGGGAGCTTGGCCTGCCCTCCCCTGTGTCTTTGTGTTCTGAGAACGAGTCACTTTTACGTGTCAGTCTGGCCTGCCAGTCTCAGGACAGCCCCAGGAAACAGGCCAAAGCTCGTTCGATGAGAAAACCATGTCCCTGAAGAGGGAGTCTGGCTGTGCTTGGGTGACTCCATCCTCAGCCCAAACCAGCTGTGCTGCCCAGGGAAGAGACCTCACCTCTCTGAGCCTGTTTCCTTATGTGCACAGTGAGGGCCATTATAGTCCCCTCCTCACTGTCTTTGGGAGGGTTAGATGAGATTTCCCTTCAAAGGGTCAGAACCCTGGCCCAGAAATTAAGCTCCATCAGAGGTTAGAACTTTATAATTAGTATTTATGACCCTGAAAAACAGTAGCCAGTGAGTGCCAGGTATCAAGGACTTTAAGCCGAGGCTGGCCTTGGAGACTTTCAGTAAATGAAAGTCACTTTAAAGCAAGACAGGGTAGGGTAAGGACTTGGGAACTGAGAGGAGGGCGGGATTCTATTTTCCTAGGAAAAGCTAGGGAGGCTTCCTGGGGGAGGCAGTTTTTGGACTGGTCCCTGCATCTGGAGTGGTTGGCTGGGCGCTGCCGGGGAAGGGAACTCCTGGTGGAGGGAACCACAGGGGCAAAGGTCTGGAGGGGGGCTCTGTGGAACTGCAGGCCACCCTCTGGCCTCAGTGGGTGGAGTAGGGCTTTTCTCATCCTCCCTGAATGTGTGTGGACTGAATGCTCTGTTGGCTGATTGCAGGGCCCATCTTCTGGCTGCTGGTCAAGAGCCCCCACCTGGCAGCCCAGCCCAGCACGTACCTGGCTGTGGCAGAGGAATTGGAGGGCATTTCCGGAAAGTACTTTGATGGCCTCAAGGAGAAGGCTCCAGCCCCTGAAGCTGAGGACGAGGAGGTAGCCCGGAGGCTTTGGGCTGCAAGTGCCCACCTGGTGGGCCTGGAGATGCCTGGTGGGTCCTCTGTGAAGGGACAGTTCCTCCCCAAATAACCTCTGGGAGCAGGTGTGGAAACCACCTGGAAAGCTGAATCACCAGGATCCAGCAGCACGGCCAGTCGAGTCACCACCATGCCCACAGCCCTCCAGATGGCAATAGTGGCTGAGGCACGCTGGCTGCCACACCCACAGCACCCTCCAGGGGCAGTAGTGGTCGGGGCACACTGGCTGCCATGCCCAGGGCCCCCCAGGTGGCGGCAATGGCCCTCTTCTTGCTGCAGTCTCCTGGTGCTGACTGCCCGGGTGGAGTGCTGTGCCCTGCTGACAGCAGGCATCGCCAGATGCCTCCCTGGGGACCTGCTGAGTGAGGAGTGGGCTCACTGTGTTGTGGCCACGTCAGGAGGGCTAGTGGTACGGGGTGGACCGTGTGGCCATTGGAAAAGGTGACAGGCATGCGGCCAAGCTCATGGCTCCCTGTGTGCCCTGTGCACCTCACGTGTCCTCCGAGCCTTGGTTTCTCCAGCTGGGAAATGTGCGGAATGACTGGACCACCTGGGACCAGGTGTTGGCGAGCGAGTCACCGCCTGGCCCGTGGGTGGCCGCCGTGCGGTCCTTGCAAATGGTGACCAAGGGCCTTCCATGGCCAGTGTGCTGGGGACACAAATCTCGGGCCTGGTGCCTGCAGCCCGGTGGGGGTGGCATGACGCAAGAAACCTGCCAGCTGTTGCTGCGAGGGAGGAAGCGGGGTGCCCGGGTCACAGCCTCCCCTCAACCCCGTGGTGGCTGAAACCGTTAGACTCTGAACTTGCTCTTTAACAAAAGTAATACAAAACCCAGCTGAGTCACAGGTTTCATTTAACTCCGTGCATGTGGGGAAGTGCTAGGGAGCTGAACCAGAACGGCTCACTACTTCTTCTTTTTAGGGAACCAAGACGTCACTATAAACATTTACAGGGCAGTCAGTCAACAAGAAGTTCCAGAAGGTTCCCTCCACTCCCTGCACAGGGCAACAGTTTCCTGTAGTGTGGGTGTCTTCTGCGTTAGAAACGGGGCTGGTGCTCAACTTGGATACAGAGTCTGGGGTGCAGCAAAATGCTCAGTAACAAGATAAAAATGCTTTAACGTTAAAAAAAACTTAAAATTTGAGATACTTGTGGGGGTTAGGGACACTGCCCCATATCCTACGATATACAGACCTGCAGAGAGTGATCCGCCCCAAATACCCACAGTGCCCGGGGAAGGGGGGAATTAGAGATGACCCAAAACTGTACGAATGCAGTTAGCGCTCTTTCTGCTACCACAAACGACCAAAACATTGGAAGGAAGCATCTGGGATGACCTAACTGGTGGGCAGCTTCCAGCATGGCCCCTATGATGCCCATCCTCTCCTTCCTGCCCCCCAAGTGTGGGCTGGACCTGGCGACATACGTATATACTTGGATAATATATGTATTTCCTTACTGTGGGATCATGGAAAAACAAATATGAGAAATGCTTCTCTCAGGTGGGGAGTCTGAGGATAACCTCAAAACCCATGCTTCTCCAAATACATGATGGGGTTCAGCTTGGGGATTTGGGGCTGTTCTCTTACAGAACCACATGAAATGATAAAAATCCAGAAAATAACATAATGCTAGTATATAATGTCCAATTTATGGACGTTGGAATTGTGTGGACAGTAATGTCCTTCATAGTAAAAGAAAACTTTTTTCTCAGCCGAGGATCCAGTCCAGGATCACGTGATGTTACTTGTTGTGACCCCTTAAGTCTACTTTAAACGGAACGGTCTTTATCTTTCATGGCTTGGACACTTCCGAAGGTACCAGCCAGATATTTTATAGGAAGTTTGTTACTTCACGATTAAGTTCAGGTTGTGCACTTGTGGTAAGAAACGCACACGCGATGCTGTGGCCTGATGGTTCGTGACATCAGGGGACAGAAGCTGTCTTACTGCCCCACTGCTGGTGACACCAGCTGACTTGGCAACATCCAGGTGGAGGAGGTGCCTGTGGCCGGGCACGTGGGCGGGCGCAGAGCCTCGGTGCCCTCCGTGGGCCCGGCACTCCTGGCTCCCCACGTGCTCACCAACCCGGAAGCTCCTGCGTGGACTGCTGCTCCGCTAGCTGCATTTGGTGGGTCTCTGCCTCGTCTTTTCCTGTCTCCGTGGGCATGTGGATGCCATTCCAGCAGGACCACGGCCTCTCCTTGAGTTTGCATCTTGATGGGACCGATGCCAAGACTGTGCGTTGGGCACGGCAGCCCTGAGGACGTCTTGCCTCCTGGTCCCCGCGGCCTGGGCGTTTGTTTCCCTGCTTCCCATCTGTGTTAGTTTCCCATGGCTACAGAAACAAACGACCACAAGCTGGTGGTTTAGACAATACCAATCTCTTCTCTGAAGAGTTCCGGAGGCCAGAAGTTGGACATGGGTCCCTGGGCTGCTTTCTTTCCGGAGCTCAAGGGGAGCACCCACTTCCTGGCCTTTTCCAGCTTCCAGAGGTGCCTGCGTCACCCGGCTCGGCCCCCACAGTCATGGTGGCCAAGTCACGTGCTGCTGTCTTCCTGATTCTCCCCCTTCCCGTTTCAAGGAACTTTGTGATCCCATTTGGCCCACTCCGATAATCCAGGATCATCTCCCTCCTTTAAAGTCAGCTGATGAGCAACTTTAATTCCATCTGCCGCCTTAATCCCACTTTGCCATGGAAAAAGCACGGGTCCTGGGGGTTAGGATATGGACATCTTTTGGGGGAGCCACCAGTTGCCTGCCACACCATCTTTTTCAAGGGTTGCTTCATTGGCCTATGACTGTGAGCCTCCCTAGACACTCTGCACCAGTTCTTTTCTGTTTGCGTTTGTATCACCAGTGTTGCTTATGAGCAAATCAACTGAAATGAGCAGGTGTTTTCATGAACTCCCCACTACCTGCTTAAAAAAAGATAACTTGGGGTGTGTTAGCAAGAAGAGTTGGAATTCAGTCTGACTCTGCAGCCCACTCTCATGGAGGCTAAGGTCTAAACAAAAGGGGCAAAACCCAGCTCTGCAGGGTGGCTGACCACACAGGGACGTGTTTGGTACAGAGAAAAGGGCCATGTGGCCTGGGGCTAATCCTTCAGATCAACATCAGCTTCTTTCCTGAGGCTGAGAAGCCCCAGGGATCACAAATGTTGACTCACAGATTGATGTAACCCTTGCCCATTTCCCCGAAGGCCTTGAGGTGGCTCACAGACCTAGCTGTAAGCCGCAGAGAGATGAAAGATAGTAAACATGGATCAGAGACAATCTCAGCCCACAGAAGTTCAGAGAGGAGATTGTGGTAGGGTAATTAGGCCGAGGGATGGAACGTGGGGCTGGTGCGGGAGGGCTCTTCACAAAGGGAACCTGGCTGTCAAACCCTTTGATGCTCCCTGGGCCGGGGGAATATCTACAGGATGCCGTGGGCTGCTGGGGATGGGACACAGGGTGGAAGCTGGGCTGGTATTCACCCCGGGCATAGGCAAGCAGGAAGTGGGGGCCGCGATAATCATCAGTTCCTTCTCCCTGTCTGGCCATTACCAGGGGCAGCTTCATCCCAAGATGGTTTCTGTAGCAGCTAATTTGGAAAAGCTTTCTTTGCAGATGTGATTAAGTTAGGGGTCTCCCGATAAGTTGGTCCTAGGTTATCTGGGAGGGTCCTAAATCCAACGAACAGCATCCTTGTAAGAGAGAAGACAGCCAGCCAAGGAGAAGGCCTCGTGCAGACGGAGAGAGTGAAAGGAGGCAGCCTCTCCCAGGTGTGGCCACCCACATTGTCTCCAGACATCCTCAGTGTCCCTGGGGAGGGACAGTCCCCTTCAGTAGAGGACCACCGAGGCAGACCCACTGGATCCATTTCCAGGGCTGTGAGCATTAGGGTGAGACGGAACAGCACACGTCGGCGTCCGGCCCCGCGTACCTACCTGTGGTCAGCTGGGTGGTGTGCAGGTGGCAGACAAGGTGCTGGGCATCAAGTGGCCTGCGAACTGGACAGATGGTTACGAAACTGCAAATGGTGGGGGGTGGTCTGCCTCTGATGGTGACACAAGCCTTAGGAGTCACCAAGGCACAAACGAGTGCCCGGCTCCGAGCAGCCAGTTTCCTGCTGGCATGCCGTGGGGCCCAGAGGTTTTCCATGGCAGATGGTAAGGAGACCATGATCTGCGGCTGCAGGAGACTGCTGAAAATCGGGCTGGGGGTCTCACTAGAATCAGCAAGGCTTCAAAGGAGTGAAGTAAGCAGCCTTGGGACCCATCTGGCACGTGGGGTTGGCTCATTCGTGCGGACCAACCTGAACATCTTCAGCCTCCCAATTCCCCTGAGGCGCGCAGGCAAGCAGAGACCAGTGCCCCGCGGCTGGGCAGGCGTCTCACATGGCGGGGTGCTCGGCCATCGGACCTGCCGCCACCACGCCCTGATCTCTGGTGGCCCATCCCAGCTCAGCTGGAGGAATTGTAGGGTCTGGCTGCTGTGAATTGGTGTGAACCCGGGAGCACGTTTGGGAGCGCAGCTGGAGGGCGCTAGGCTGGGACGGGACGTGAGACCAGCTGGCCAGGGCCCATGGGCTTGGAGCCACTCATCCATGATGTAAATTCCATCTAATATTCCGGGCTTTCGGGTAGCCGAGGATTATGGCAGCTGCCTTAGTGTGTGTGTCCCATATGGCATCCAAGACCGTGCAGGTCAATATTAATGTCCCGATTTTGATACTGTTTGAGGTTAGGTGGGAGAATGTCCTTGTTTGTGAGCAGTCCGATCAGTGTTTGGGTGAGGGTCTGCCACATAATCTCAGACGGTTCAGGAAAAACTTTGTACTGTACCTGCAACTCTTGGGTAACTTTTTTCAAAATAATCGAATTAAATAACAAAAAAATAGTACAGAATAACAAAATGGCACAAAACCATGTCCTTGGTGAAGAAGCCAGAGAATGCCAGTGCTTCAGAACAATTCCAGGCAAAAAGCAAAACGGAAAACCCCACCAATTCCCATGAGCCATCTCTCCTGCTCTTATCTTATTTTTCGTATTTGAACCATGTGAATGTAGAACTAGAATAAAATTAAATTCAATAAATGTAAAGGAATGCACAGACATGGTAGCATATCAGTGTACGTCTGCATTTCCTCTTTTTTCACTTAGCAGTAGACCTTGAAGATCTCTGTCACTTCACAAGGTTTTGAAAATACCAAGGACATAAACCTCTATTTCCATTCCCTTCAGGTGAAAAGTTGTACGTCACCATGCTCACAGCAGAGGGCGCTCTTGTATTACAACCCTTTACAACAGCAACTGGAGGCTTTCATATTCTGGAATACATTTAGCAAGAAACGTGCAAATCACCCTAAAACACTGCCCTGTTTACACAAGTACATAGGTGCAAACAGTGGTTATCAAACACAGCCACCAAAGTAAACCAGAAAATGAGAATCCAAAAATGCAGCTGCTACGCACCTCAGAGGGAAATTGCTAAGTCAGGAACCCTACGTCTAACATTTTAAGGAACTGCCAGACTGTTTCCCACCTATGTTCAGAACAGCATCACTCAAAAGTGGAAGCAGCCCAAGTGTCCCTCAAGAGAGGAGTGGAGAAAGACCATGTGGCCCCTCCATATGAAGGAATATTATTCAGCCATAAAAAGGTATGAAGCCCTGTCAGAGTCTACAACATCAAGGAACCTCGAGGCCATTATGCTCCGTGAAAGAAGCCAGTGATAAAGACGAATACCATCTGATTCCAGTGACACAAGCTGTCTAAAGTCAAATCATAAAGGCGCAAGACAGAGCAGTGCTTACCAGGGACTGGGGGCCAGGGAAGGAGTTAAGTTCTGGGCATTTTGGCACTGGGGTCGTTAGTATCTCCCCTGGCACTCGGAAGTCGGTGGAGATCCTGTGGGAAGCTGCTGGTCTAGCCACCGAACTGGCACATAACTGGGCAGCTCATGGTCAGATCTGACTGTGTGAGTGACAGATTAAAAACAAGGGGCTGAACTCTCCCTTTGAAAATAAGCGAAGAGATGACTCCCCTCCCATTTCCTAGAGCATATACTTTAGAGACCTTGCAAGTTTTCTCTCTGTCTCGTTGAAATGTGTGTAACTCTTTTTAGAAGGTAAGCAAGCGCCTTGCCAGCTTTATGACCCAGCAGTGTCTTCTTTCCCAAGGACCTGGAAGCTGTCTCTTTGGCATGTGAACCCTGAGGGGGAGAGATTCTTGTCTCCCGGTTCCTGAGGGAAGCAGGAGGTGGACTCCATGCCGTAAGATGATCTCCTGCTATCAAGGTAGAAGTTTGGTTTCTCTGTGCACAGAGCCAGTCAGCTAACACAGATGGGGGCACCACATACATTTAGGAGGATCTGTGTGTGATGCGTGGGGTGGGCCGGCCCTCTCACTTGAGGACCAATTGTTATTTATCTTGCACATGTATGTGATAGGTTGTACCTGCCGGCTCTGCGAAAGGAGAGGCTGCCTTCCACCCATGCAGCTGCTTCAGCAGATGGCCTGTGCGACACACCGTGTTCCAGTTCAAAGTTTATTTGATGATAAAACCGTTCGCTTTATCTTCTACCTTTGTGGAATTTTCTGGGTTGGGAGATGTTCTTTAATTCTGTTTTGCCAACATGATGGAGTCAGCACTTGGCTTAGCTCCCCTGGAGGACAAGAAGAGGTTCACGGGACATCTCACTCTCCTCTCTGTGCCAGGGAGGGGCCCCATGTTGACTGTCCACACCCCCATTCAGGATGCGGATCGAAGCCACAGAGCAGCAACCAGGCTCAGAGGAGGCAGTTTTCCCAGGAATGCCCCACCTCCTGCACACACCGGGACCTGCCCGGGGCAGAGCCTCCCGGATGGGACCTGTTCCATGCTGTGCAGTCTGCAGAGGCGCCCCAGCGATGCCTCCCTTGGGATGTGGCCTGTGAACCTACATCACCCGCGGGACAGCCTTTGTGAAAGAACAGGGATTGTACTCCCTTCATGTGGAAAGACTGGAAACAATCTAAAAGCCAGAAATTCAGGTCATCTTAAGCAGCTGATGGTACATCCCAGCAAAGGAACATTTTGCAGCCATTAGTAAGCATGCATGCTGTTTTGCTGTTGTTATTTTTTAACACATCTGGGGGAGATGTCCATGGAGACTTGAGGGGTGGGGGCAGATGGATTGCTGCAACCATGTGCGTTTTGGAGGGGATCCTGGTCTCTAGGTGGGGATCCTGGGGTGGCCAGCACCTTGAGGGTAGCTTGGGAGGCCCTGTGCAGAGAACTGTACCATTCCTGGACTTTAGTCCCCAGAACGGTGAGCTCATAAATGGAGAATGTTTAGATTTGGGATAGTTTGTTATACAGTAATAGTCTCACCAACAGGACAAGCCAAATATATTACGGTGTCCTCCAGCACCCAGCAGACTTCACTCTCCCCTTAGCATTCCTTTAGTAATATCATCTCCTACGTTGCCCAGTAAGGAAGGACCTTTGCCATTACCCAGGGGCTCCTGATAACCTGCCAGTTAAATCTACGTTGGCTGTTCCCAGTATTTAGAATGCTTGTCCCCATGTCCACCCGGCTTGGTCTGCAACGTTCCTGAAGTCTTTGTGAAAAGGTCACTTTCTCATCGGGGACTTCAGAGCCACCTCCACTGATACCGAATGACATGTGTGCACCATCTAAAGGGATATTTCTATATATCCTCATTCCGTGCTATGCATTTTTTTCCACCCAGCATGAAACAAAGTTGCAAAATAATATAAATTAATAACTGGATGGTTACAGTTTCCCACCGACTCCAGCTATATGAGAACAGGGGCTTTATTTTAATTCTAGATTCTAAAGTTCTAAAATCTTAGAGTGGCTCTAAAATTCTGAGTGAATTCTACTTAGAATTATTTAGAATCCATTTGGAATTCTAAAATTATTCTAAAGTCTTAGAATTCTTGCAGTGAGGCACGGCACACAGTAATCATTTAATAAATACTTGGTGAATGAATGAAGTAGACTCTTTCTTTGGGTTTGGGTTGGAATTAAATTAGATAATACACATCCCATGCCTGTAAGAGTTCTGGGAAGATTGTGAAATCTTGGTAAATTAGACCTAAGTTTTAGTTTTGAAGCTTGACAGGCGCTACATGTTCAAGAGAGAGGAGCAAGATGTTTAGAGGAATGGTGCCCGCCCGCACCCGCCCGCGCTGGGCGAACTGGGACCGAGGTCCCTCTGCAACCTGCGAGGAGAGCCTCTGCGCTGTTGAGTTTTAGGAGTTGTCAATATAGTATTAATCCCTTACCAGATGTATGGTTTGCAAATACGTTCTCCCATCCTTTGGGGTGACTTTTTACTCTGTTGGCAGTAGCCTTTGATGCACAAAGGTGCTTGATGTTAATGAAGTCCAGTTGGTCTATATTTTCTTTTGTTCTCTTTGCCTTTGGTGTCATCTCTAATCACCACGTGATTTCCAAATCCTCTCTTGTGAAGCTTTTGGTTTATGTTTTCTTCTACGTGTTTTTAAGTTTCAGCTCTTACACAGAAGCCTTTGATCCATTTTGAGTGCCCTTTCACCTGTGATGTTAGGCGTTGCTAGACTCTTTTACAAAGGATGGAGGCAGGGTTTCGAGGGTAGCTGCGCCTTCTGTGCAGCTAATGCTCAGCGTCCAGAGTGAGCACCTTTCCCTGCAGGCAAACAACCCTAGCAAATCAGATGATTCATAGTGGGAACAGCAGGCCTTCTCACCTTGAATGAGAAACACCACTGATCCAGCTTAGAAAATGCATCTCACATTTTAAAAATCTGTAAAATTAATTGTGCACTTTGAATCACATTAAAAACAATCTATTATGTAAAATTATCTTGCTATCAAAAACATTTTAAGGGAAATAAAGATATATACTTTTCCTTTTATTAAAAAAGTCTATATACAACATCAAATATTCAAGAATGTACACATTTCTCTTATGAGAAGGTCGTTAACCATGCCAAGTAAATTAAAAGAGTCATTTTAAGCGCACTGGGAGGGCTGCCCAGCCAGAGACTTTTGGTCAGGATATAGTCCTTGGGACGCAGTAATTGGGGGAACTTTTTCTCCATGACCTACGCTGAATGTTTTCATACCTACCGTTGCTGCAGATAATCCGTATCCTACAAAGGGATCTGTCTCCCTGGCATCCTCGCAGGCACTGCCAAAATCTCAGGTCTGATTCAGGCCCACAGCCCCATCCCTAATAGCTCCGCTGGACTCCCCTACCTGGTCGGGTCCCGTCTAGTTGCGTTCTCCCACTTTTTTCGTCATTTCCCCTCAGCTCTCATCTATGCAGTTGGTAGGCATGTCACCGAGGATGGGATTACGCACGCCTCCTGTTCCCTCTTTGTGGCTTCAGTCCCCGTAGGTGTGCGGCAGAGGGTTGCGAAAGGAGCATTTCCCCTTTCTGTTTGGCAGGGGCTGCCCTTACCCTGAGTGAGGGATTCAAAGCCCCAGGCGGTGCCTCCTCCGCGAAACCTGCCTGCCGGAGGTGTGGGCTGAGGCGCTGCCATGGTCCCAGGGCTCGTTTTTCTGCTTGGATTTGGTGAGTAGGGGACAGGGAAGGAGGATACAGACACCGAGGTTCTCAACCCGCGTGCCTCCCGGGGGCCTCTTCCCCTGTGAGGTCCCGGGAGCACTTGGTGACACAGCGATTGCGCGTGGGGCAGCTCTTCTTCCACGGGCACCCGGGCCTGGTCCCTGGAATGATCAGGCCCTTGGGGAGCCCTGGTTTACAGGGTGACGCCGCTCACCAGGTCTTTCTCTGTTGCAGGGTTCTGTCTGGAGCAAGAGGTTCGGGCGCAGCCTGGTGAGTCCTTTCTCCCTTCTGCTGCTCGGCAGCCTTCAGCTGGGCTGAGGGGACGGCGCCGTGAGCTCGAGAGCCCCTGACACCATACCCCTCGTTCACATTCCTCATTTTATTAAAAAATTTTTTTAACATTCTCCACCATTGTGCCAACTTTTGGTGGAGTCTCTTCCCTGCTCCAGAAAGCTTCCCGAGGGTTCTCCCCTGTCAGCACAAACGAGTGAAGTAAAGGGCCTCCAGGTCCAGTGACAGGGCTCGAGGGAGACCCAGCTGCTGACCCTGGCCACACGGACAGCCCTGGGCACGTTTGCGGATGTGGCACCCTCCCGTTTTGGGGGTGTGTGTGTCCTCTTGTGCTTGCCACGACCTCAGCGGCCTCCAGCTAACTATCGAGGGTGGGTTCGCTCCCAGGGCAGCCAGTCCTGCTTGGGAAACAGACTGGAGGAAAATGAGCGCCCCACTTTGGCTGGTTCTGGGCCCTTTTTCAAGCAATTTCCTGCATCTGAGCCCTGAGTTCCTACTTTCCAAAACAGGGTAATAGCAGAGGGATGCGTCAGTTAAGATACAATGCACGTCACGCTCAGAAAACAGCACTTGGCTCAGATTAGGTCTCATTGCGTAAACGTAACAATGGTTAGGTAACATTTATTTTTTCCCATTGCCTAACGACAGTCTCCAGTTTCGCCTAAGTGATCTCATTTTAATCTTATAACCCCTCCAAGAGTTAAGTTAATTCCTTCACTTTCCAGATATATAGAACCTTTGGTGTGACCTCAACATGTACTGTGTGCTGGGTGTAGGGTTCTGACTTCCCGTCAGTTTTGCCCTCTAGGTGAAGGACAATAATATTAACAGAATAGATAACTAAAACATTTACTGTGTTTGAAGGTGTTTAATGCTTAAGAGACACAAAGCATAAGAGAGCGCATTCAGGAGTGGAATAAGTCCAGGCGTGTGGACGTAACGGTGATGTCTGAAGGGGTGGGAGGCTGGAGGTGACACGGGGACATCCTTTCATGCCAGAAAACAAATGCAAATTGCGCTGAGGAATCAACCGGGTTCCGCTCATCCAGACAGTGCCAGGGTGTCCAGGACTAGTGATGAGTGAACATGGTGGGGTGTGAGGTCCAAGCACAACAGGTCGGGCAGCGAGGAGCCCGGCAGACCAGGGACAATGCTCAGCTGTCACTAGAATGGGGTGTGGCTGCTGGAGGCTGTGAGCGGAGGAATGAGTTGCTGTGGCTTATTTAGGACCACGGGCTTCGGTGTTTCCATGGAGGTCGGAGAGCGGTTGGGGCCTGTGTTGTAGAAGGAGAGAAGCTGAGAGCACAGAGCAGTAATGCAACGAGAGGCGATGGTCCCTTGGCCCTGGGCAGCAGAAGCCCTGTGAGCGACAAGGGCAGAGACCCCCAGAGCTCACTTCCGTGTTGGACCCAGGGGTTGGAGAAAAACTAGTTAGTCTCCAGTTGGCAGGGTCGGCTAAGTTGCATTAGCTGTTTTGAAATTTCTTAGAGCTCTCATTTGGGCATAATTAGCTGAATATTTTCACAGTTGAGATGTTCACAGTTACCCAAATGAGTTCAGGTGAGTGACTGTAGTGTGCACTATAGTATAGGGTGTGTGCATCTGTCTGTATGTCTGGCATACATGTGAGCAGTATACGCATTTAGACAGGCAGATGTGTGTGTACACATAGGTGATGGAGAGCTAGAGGCTGTGTGGGGCCTACAGAAACGAGCTCGATTATAAAGGGCCAAGCCCAGAGGCATCCCGAGGTTTAGTGGCTTGGAGGTGATGGGAAACAGCCAGGCAGACGGACAGCGTGTCCAGGACAGAAAGCAGCGTGTGGCCCCGCCTGACAGGTGATGTGACTGAGGGCAGGGCCGGGGTGGGTGTGGCTGGGCATCACTGGGCTCGAACCACTGCCCACCAGTCATGCAGTTCCAGGGCCTCTGGGGGACAGGAACAGCGGTTTTCTGGCATTGGGATGCTCTGGATTCAGAGCGTGTTTGTCTTGCAGTGCAATTCCCCCGGCCCTCCATCTGGGCGTCACCAGGGACTCTGGTCCCCCAGGGCAGTCCTGTGACCATCCACTGCAGGGGGCCATCAGGAGTGTCTGTGTGGCGGCTCCTTAAAGCAGAACCTCATCCCATCTGGGAGGACATGAGCCCCCACGGAGTGCAGGGAACACTCAGTTTCTTCATCCCGTCTGCGAGCCACTTCAGTGCTGGGACTTACTCCTGTCAATACTTGAAACGAGGGTTCTGGTCAGGACACAGTGGCCTCCTGGATCTGGTGGTGACAGGTGAGGGGCACCCCCACGGACACGGCCCCCAGCCTCGGTCTCTGCTGGCCACCATGTGGGACTGGCCGTACCCCCATCACTGACCCTGCCCTCCCGCCGTGTCCGTCTGGGTTGCCTCTGTGCTCTGACCGTGGCCGTGGCCTTGCAGAGAGGCAGTGGGGTCCCACAGCACTGCGCCCGATGGGACAGATGCTCGCCCACCTGGTGGGTGGGTGTTTCTGTCCTGTGATCTCTGAATGGCAGCAAGGGGTGAAGGTCAGCCTCCCTCCTTCCTCCTTTTGGGCCCAAGACAACGGCGCTGTCCCATGTGGTTCAGTGATCAATCAGCTTTTCTCTTCCAGGAGTGTACGAGGGCAGGCTGTCCCTGACTGCTCTTCCCAGCCCCAATGTGACCGTGGGAGGGAATGTGACCCTCCGGTGCCAAGCGTCTCTTTCCTACATGTTCTTCAATCTGTCTAAAGATGAACGAATTGACCTTCCCCAGGACTTCTTTCGCCAGGACCACAGGACCTTCCTCATCTCCCCGGTGACCCTTGCCCACAGGGGTACCTACAGGTGCTTCGGTTCATGGCAGCACTCTCCCCACAAGTGGTCAAAGCCCAGCAATCCCATTACGCTTCTGGTCACAGATGAGAAGAGCGGTCAGACAGGTAATTACAGCTCTCTGCTCAAGGGTGTGCTCCTGACGGGAGGCGGGGGTCAGTCCCACCTGGTCTGACTGTGTGGGCTGTGCACCCTACTGACGACCCCTCTAAGATCCCTCAGTTCAATCCATAGGCCCTGAAGCGCCATGAACTCACGAGAGCAGTTGGGGGCAGACATAAGCGGATTTTTCTTGGGAAGAGATGTCTTCATTTATCTGCACAAAAGAGCTCTTGGGACCAGAGTGAGGGGCGGGCGTGCCGCTCAGGGTGGGTGTCATCCTCCTTTACACCCCCCCAGCGCTTCCCTCGGGCAGAGGGGGAGATGCTGGGACCACAGGGGTGTCTCTGGCCAGCTGCCAAGGCAATGGGGGGGTGCAGAAGGAGATTTGCAAGGGGGGATGTCCAAGAGGGATGCGTGGTCAAGATGCTGCAAGGCTTTGCAGGCGGGAGCAGCTTAGCAGTCTTGGTGGATGGGGGCTGAGTGCCAGGTGCCATAACTTTCCTGATTAGCTGAGGCTTCTCAGGGTTTCAAGGGAGGGGCCCGTGTCCCAGGCGCAGGGAACAGAGGGGACGGAGGCTCAGAGGTGTGAGGCGAGCCTGCCTGGTGCTCCCTGGGAACTCCAGTTCATTGCTGGGGGCGTGTGTGGGTTAGAGAAGGAAAGATGGACACAGGGGGAAGGGATCTGAGGAGGAAAGGACAGGGGCAGAGGAGGAGGCAGGCGTGACTGGAGAAGTCTGTGCGGGACCAGCCTGCAGGCAGGAGTGCCACGTGGACCGCAGGGGGTGCGCTTTAGTGGAATCTCTGCTGATGGCTGGCACACGGTCCAGCGCAGTCAAAAACGCGCCTACGAGTTTCCGATGCAGTGGATTATTTGACATCCACTCAGATCTCAGCTGAGCTCTCGATCCACGCATCTCAAAAGCCCCCCCCACCACTCCCGGTCTTCCCACCGCCGCGGGCGCCGTGCGTCCTCTCTGCCGATCAGGTCATCGAGGACAGTCCCGGAGGCTCCCCTCTGCCCTCTATCATCAGATCTCAAACCTCATTTCCGTCCTCAGACCCATTCCTCCTTCCTTCCCCCACCACTGCACTGTTCTTGCCAGCCGCCTCCTGTCTCTCCCTTAAAGCGCGTATCACACGGCAGACCTGGTGACTTCAAAGAAATACATGGCTCCCTGCCTGCCAGTCCCCCTGTGGGTCCTTCTTGCGTGTAGGTGTAAATCAGACTCTTCTCCAGGGCCCCCAGTGTTCTCCCAAAGGTTTTGGCCTTTGCTGCCCTCTCCTGACCTGCCCCTTCCTGTCCTGAACCACCTGTCTTCTCTGCGTGCGGTCACACCAAGCTCCTCCTCACTGCTGAGCCTGCACCTGTTGTTCCCTCTGCCCGGATGCTATCCTTGCACCTCAGAGACGTGGGTGCTGCTTAGCCTTTGGGGCTCATCTCCCAGAGAACCCTTCTCATACTGCAGCGTGGGCAGCCTGGCCGTGGGTTTACTCTGTGCCCAGCAGCACTGCGTATATTGGTTGACGGGCAGACGCTGCTGTCGGGCGGGTTCACTGCGCTTTCCCACACCTGCAGCGGCTGCCTCGTCCGCGGAAGGCGCACAGTAGGTGTCTTGAATGGGCACATTCATCCGGGAGGAGATCAGGGACGGGCCTTTGCTGCTCACTAATTCTTAGATCCGCGGGCTTCTGGAAACGGCCGCCTCCCCGTCGTGGCTGGGACCTCGGCTGCTGCTGGGCTCCTTCTCGTCTTCCTCCTCTTTCTCCTTTGCCGGTGTTGGCATCGGCCCAGACACAGTACGTCCTGGGGGTGGGAGGCTTAGCCGGGGAGGAGGTGGGGGGAGGGGCTTGGGGGTCCCCGGGGACCCCGGGGCTTGGGGGTCCCCCCACCAAAACTCTGATCGCGGACCCTCTGCAGGGAGCGCTGAGGGTGAGAGCAAAGGCCGGGTGAAGTCTCAGAGGTAGGAGAGCGCGGGCTTCCCCCGGGAACGCGCGGCCTCTGCGTCCTTCCTCGACCCGCAGTAATGCCTCCGCCCCCTTCCTGCAGCTCCAGCCCAGGCACGGACTTCCGGGGGGCGAGTCAGTGTAAGGGGCCCGGGGGGGAGGGCAGCTGGGGCGGGGAGGGTGTGCTGGGGACGGCGGGAGGCACCCTGGAGGGAGGGGAGACGGGGGTCTCCACCTGGCAGGCGGCGTGTCTCTGCGCTTCCCAGGTTTCAGCCAGTCACCCCCAAAACGCAGGTGGCAGGACTGGGCGATATGAAGGCCCTCCCCGGAGGCTCAGCCCCCCATCTTGCTCTGCAGCCGTCGTGGAAGTCATCCAGCCTGAGGGCAGGGAGAGGGTCCTGCAGGCGAGTCTCCGCACCCCCCTCCCCTCCCACCCCGTCCCCTCCCTGGGCCGGCCTTCCCTTCCCCTTGCGTCTCTGCACAGTCAGGACCCCGCAGGGGAGGACCTGCAGGAGGTGACGTATGCTGAGCTGCACCTGGAGACCCCTCTGGGGAGTGGGGACCCCCTGCCGCCCTGCGCCCCGGAGGCCTCCTCCGCGCAGCCCTGTGTGTACGCAGTCCTCAGCCTGTCTGAGGGCGGAGCCGGCGCCGGCTGTGTGGACTCGTGTTACAGTGCTCCTTGAGGAAGATGCAGCTCCCTGGGGCTCCTCATGTCCCTCGACCCCAGCCATTGTCTTCGAACTCCCCAAAGACTCAAGAACAGAGAAGTCTGTTTACTGTCAAGGAATGCTGGGACCTGTCACCTCTCTCTCAGCAGATTCCAGGTCCTTGTGCACGTACCCACTCACTCGCCTGTTCAGGCTTACGGATGCTCTCCCCGGATCTGTGCTGAGGGTAAACACTTGTAAGACATATTTTCTGGTCTCAAGGCACTCATAGCCTACTGAGCGGGGCAAGCCATGTGACCCGGCCCTTGGAGAGCAGAGAGGATGCACCGAGCCCCGCCGTGCAGCACGTCTAGGGAGAACTCACTGCCTGCGAACACAGGAGAAGCCAGGCAGGGTCACGCTGGGCAGGGAGGAGGCTCCTCACGGCTTCGGGCCGGGATTCGGGATTCTAGGAGCTGCCAGGGGCAGAGGGCGGAGAACGGGAAGGGTTCTTCGCGAGGGGGCCACACTGCGAAACGGAACGAGATGGCCACGCCAGGGGCCCTCTGGGGGAGGGGATGGGGCCGGGGGTTCGGAGGGCGTTTTATGGTTCCCCCTGCCCTGGGTTTATAAATGTCTCTTTTCAATTATACAATTAAAATAAATACGACATAATAAAACGAGCACTGGGTGAAAGGAACTGGACTCGGTCTTTAAATAACTCTTCAGGAAGTGTTGACAAAAGGAAGCAGAGAAGAAAGTGAATGGTGGGCGCAGCGAGATACAGCAAAGGGTTTGGCGTGAGGAGCAGAAGAAATATATGAACGTGTGTGTCGACGGGTCGGGGGAGGAAACGTGGGCGACAGTGGGGCTGAGCGGCGGCTGCCACAGGTGGGGATGGCGTTTCTGGGACGAGCCCAGACTCCACGAGAGGTGGCTTAGCTGGGGCCACATTCCCGTGCTGCACCACTAGCTGCACCACGGAGCACGTTCAAAGGTCATTCTGTAGGGCAGAAAGACGGCTCCGGGGCGCGTGGGATGAGCGCCCCCACCTCGTGGGAATCAAATGGAAATGGCAGCAGGGGCAGGGTATTCCTGCACTCCCACCTCGAAGGACTGAACGGCGTCCCCTCCAGTCCATGCGTTGAAGTGCTACCCACCAGGACCTCAGAGTGGGACCTTCTTTGGAAATGGGGTCATCGCAGCTGTAGTTAGTTAAGACGAAGTCACACAGGAGTAGGACGGGCATCTAATCCAATATAAAATGCGTCCTTATTAAGAATAAAAAGGAAATTTGGACACAGAACACACGCCATGTGATCCTGAAGGCAGAGAGCAGGGTGATGCATCTACAAGCCCAGGAGCCCCCGATTTCCAGCAAACGCCGGGAAGCTGCGGAAGGGCGCGGACCAGAATGCCACTCACAGTTCTTGGAAGGAAGTGCCGCTGCAGACACCCTCACTCAGACTTCCGCCTTCCAGAACCATGACGCAATAAACTTCTGTGTTTAAGCCACCCAGTCATGATCTGTTGTAAGGCAGCCCTGGCAGGCAAACATGCCATGGGACTGGCAAAGATCAGAGGGCTGGGTGACCGCAGTTTTAGGAGTGTGGGGAGGTGTGGGGACCCCTCTGCACTGTTGTGGGAAAAGAAACTGGTGTAGCCGATCGGCAGTGCAGTTTGGCCCCGTGAAAGCTGAAAATCCACCCGACTTCTGATCTGGCCGTTTTCCATTGGGTCTGTGTTGTAAAGACATTCACACCTCTAACCATAGGGATGCGTGAGGAATGATACTTAGCTCAGCATCGTTTATAGTGGAGATGCTGTTGCTATTGGGACAGGGAGGGAGACGTGTGTTGGAAGTAAACCAATGTTCTGAGATACTGGAACGGACTGTAGACTCTCAGTGCGCAGTGGAAAGATGAAATGCTTCCCTAGCATTATATGATTTAACAATACGACAGGCATTCTCCCAGACAGAAAATAATCTTTTGCAGAAATGAATGAATTCATGTGGAACATTTCTGAGCCATTCCTTGGAGGTGGCAAAAAGAAGCGAGAACTTAGGGGCGTAGATAAACAAGAGAAAGCCTTTGCCTAAATCTCCGTGAACATGTGGTTAAGCCAGAGGGAAATAATTTAGTCGGCTCCCAGAATCCAAGCCTCAACTGGAAAAATGAATTTTCTTCTAAGCTCAAGGTTCCTCACCAGCATGGCATGGAAACTGCCCATTTCTCCATCTGGTGTGAGGGCCAGATGGGTCAGTGTGTGAGATCCGTGCACCCAAGTTTACCTTGCTCTAAGTGCCAGAACTCTAACCCGGTGGGCATCGAGCGGGGGTGGTGTCACTCCACAAGGGACATCTGGCAGAATCCAGAGATACCTGTGGTGGTCACAACTGGAGGGGCCCTTGTGCTCATGCCATGCAGTGGATGGAGGCCGGGGATGCTGCCAGGCCTCCTTTAATGCAGGGACAGCCCCCCCACCCGACTCCCTCGTAGACTCACCTGGTCGCAGATGTCAATAGTAAAAGGGCGGGACACCCTGAGCTGACGGCCGTACCTCTCCAGCTTTACGCTCCCTGACTTTCAGCTGCATGAACTGCGCCCCACTTACAAGGTCATCAAGCTCTCGGGCGGGCTGAACATGCCCCTCTTCTTCCACGACCAGGAGGCCCAACTTCAGACATCACCGCTCCCAAGCAGGGGTCCCCAGAACCATTCTGTTAAGGAGATCCACCCATAACACTCCATCTCAGCACCTCATTCAAAATACTTAGCACGATTCCCATGCATTTTATACTGTTGGAGGGAATAACCCTCTCTCTCCCTCTCTGCTTTCTAGCTCTATGAATTTGTCTACTCTGGGTATTTGAGATAAATGGAATCACACCCTAATAGGGCCTTCTGTGTCTGGCTTATTTCCTAGCGTGTATCAGAATTGCACTCCTCGCTAAGACTGAGCAACATCCCATCGTACGGAGAGACCACAGCTTGTTCGTCCATCCGTCAGTGGGCATCTGAGTGGGTTCCGTCTTGGTGAATATCTATCTGCTCAAGTCGCTTCCTTCCATCCTTCCTGGTGGTGCCCAGCAGTGGGGTTGCTGGGCCATATGGCAATTCAGTTTTAACGTTGTTCACAGCGGCTGCCCCATTTCACGTTCCTGAGGATTCCAGCGTCCCCACATCCCTGCCCACACTGGGTATTATCTGTGTCACTACCGTCACACGGGCGGGTGTGACGTGGCATCTCGCTGGCGGAAGTCAAGGAGTTCAGGGGGCTCCAGGACACCCACGATGCCTCACAGAGGCGCCATGTGGGCTGCTGACAGCTGATGTGGGAGGCTCCTCATAGCCTGGGTGCAAGTCATTTCCCCAAGGGGCCGGCTGCCCTTGCATGAGTCTCAGGAAAAGCCAGGCTGGGGAGGGGGGCGGAGGGAGGAGGACGGTCTCTCCGTACCCCTTCCTGCCTCTGCTCCAGCTCCTGCGGCCTCCCTCTGGGCATGAGCTCGGGAGGGTGGAGAACCATGGCCCCTGGCCCCACCGTTTTCTTCTGCCTTGGTGAGTCCTGGGGTTTGATCTGGGAAACGCTGAGGGGCAGGCAACGGGCGATGAGGCAAAGAAGTTTTAAAACATGCATCAGTGATGAATCTCAGGGCAAGAGGGACAGACCTGCGGGGATCCTTCATTGGTTGGGTGGTTGGGTGGGAAAACTGGGAGCTGGGGGTGGCGTTTCTGTCTGTTACTCTAGTCCGTTCATGGTGGGGTCAGGAAAGGAGCTCAGGTCTCCGTTGGGGCTGCAACCTTCTTCCACGTCACCAGGTTTCTTTCTTTCTACTGTGGGCTCAGTGGATCGGGACTAGGTTACAAACTTGTCGGTGTCCCTACGATACTGCTGCAAATAATCCTGCCTTTTGTGCCAACGTGGAGGGACCTTGAGGGCATGAGGCTAAGTGAGATGAGCCAGAGAAGCAAAATACCAGGTGCTTTCACATGTGGAGACTAAAAAAGTCAAGCTCATAGCAGCAGAGAGCAGACTGGGGGTTGCCAGGGGCTGGCGAAATGGGGAGACGCTGGTCAAAGGGCACAAATTTCCAGCCGTAAGGTGAGTCGGTCTGTAGATCTACCGTATGGTGTGGTGACTGTGGTTAATAATACTACAGGCTCTGCTTGAGATGTGCTGGGAGCATAGGACTGAAGTGCTTTCGCCCAAAATAAGGATCATTCTGTGAGGTGACGGATGGAGTGGCTTGACTGGGGGAATCGTTTCTGCACATCAGAGCACCCTGTCGCACACTTTAGGTGTACACAATGTTTCTTGGTCAGCGACAGCTCAGGCAGGGTGGGGGGCGTCTGCCCTGGTGGGTACGGCCTGCTCTCACCGCATGTTCCTCGTCGGCCTTCGTCTGGGCGCACCATATGCATATTTCGTCAAAAGAACTTCTTCACCGAGAGGTGAGAGGCTCCAAGGGGCTAAGCAGGAAGGAAGCGGTTGTGTTACGGGGATAGGCTGGCAAAACCACAGGCACAAACCTCCTCTCATTGCTTGACTGACTCATTCATTCTCGAACACACCCTCACGGAGCACTTGCCAGGGGCTTGATGAAGTGGGGCCTGCTGTTATCCACCTTTTAGATGAGAAAATGAGGCCCAAAGAGATAAAATGACTTGTTTAAGGTCATGCGGCTAGGGCTCGAATGCACACCTAGGGATTTTGGCACCAAGTCCATGTTCTTTGCTACTAAAATATGCTGCTAGTGTTTGACTCTACCTTATGCCAGTTGTAGGGCCGAGGGCAAGAGACTGTCTCAATGGCCTGATCTACAAAATGGGGCAAATAATGGCCCCTAAACAGTAGGATTATGGTGACCCAGGGTCCATAACAGCATGCAGAGGAGTATGTCCTGCTGTGTTAGAAGGGGCGGAGGTGGCGTGTGTAGGGCCATGGACAAAGTGGGGACAGGGGAAGAAGAACCTGGCGTGGACAGAGGGTGGGACTCGCAGGGGCTGGTGACGAGCGTGTCGCCCCCTGAGCTCTGGAGTTGAGGATGGTGCAGGTGCAGCCCCTTCCCAGCTGTGTGGGCTAAGAGAAATTGCTTCGCCTCTCTGTCCAGTTTCCCTATGTTTGCAATGGAAACAACTGTCCCTCCTTCTGGCGTGTGTGTGAAGGATAAGGGTTAACCGGATAAGACACAGGATGTCCAGCTAAACTGAATTTTGGATAAACAATGAGTATTTTTTAAACTTAAGTATTTCCCATGTATCTCATGGGCCAAACTATGCCAAAAAAATTTGGGGGCAAAAATTTCATTGTTCACCTGGGATTCAAATGTCCCTGGGGGTCCTGCATTTTTATTTGTTACATCTGGTAACCTAGTAAGACTCAGACAGGCGGTGTTACCAGCCCTGCAGAGAGTCTGGGCTCCAGAGAAAATGGTTGGTTGTTCAACTCAGAGAGGAATTAGTTCAGATGGACGGAAAAATGGGGGGAGGGCACCTCCAGGGCAGAAGCAGTTTGACAGACCCTGTGAAGGTACGTGAGGGGCTCCTGAAGATCGGGGAGAGAATGACACACAGGTCCCAGGAAAGCTGTGCCCGTGGAAGTGAGCCAGCTAGGTGTGGATTCTAGGGAAGATAAGGGGGGAAAATACGTGGGCACATTATAACCCCCACGTGTGAATCCTCTTGGCACAGCCGTGATGATGTAATTGCTGAATATTGATTGAAACAAAAGGTTAAAATAGTGGGAAATCCACGATCGACACACCCTGAGGTCTCCTGGCTTATGATAACAATGCAAGAGACCCTGCGTCCCACACCTGAGTGTCGGTCAGAGGCTGGATCTCAACTGTTCCCACCACGGGAAAGAAATGGCAAGTGCGGAGGGCACGGAGCCAGGAGCGGAGTGGACATCCTCGTGTCAGATATAAATGTATCAAACAAACAGGTGGCCGACCTTGAATCTACACAATGTTGTTCCTCAATTACATTTTGATAAAGCTGGGGGAAAAAAGAGGAGCCTCTGGCCCACAACCCCCTTCTCAGAGAAGGGGGACTGTCTTCCTAGCTGTCAAAAGTGTGTGCGCCGGGCAGAGGCGCAAGGAGTCCCTGCTTGGCCTTAAAAAAATTGTGGTGAAATAGTAACCGTAACATGGAATTTACCAGTAATGACATGTAGCCCACTGGTGACATTCAGGCACTTGGATGGGCACCCGCCACTTCTGTCTAGTCCCACTCAGTCCCCCCTCCAGCCCCTGGCGGCCTCGGATCACCCGGCCTCCCTGGATGGATTTCCCTGCAGGAAGCGGCCTCTTAAGGCAGGCTTCTCTCTCTTAAATTAGGTGCATATATGTCTTTGAAAAAAAATTATGCAAACAAAGAGAATGAGGGCAAATGTCCGAGTGCCCTGCCCAGCAGGCGGAAGTGGGGTGTGCGGACTCCCAGTTTGGCCTTTCCTCTCTCCTCAGGGCTGTGCCTGGGGCACGTGACACAGGATCGGAGCGGTGAGTCCCCGTCCCGGGCGGCTCCGTCCTCTGGGCCCAGCCTGCAGAGGGCAGGAGGGTGAGGGTGCCAGGGGGATGGGGGGAGAGAGGGGGACCCAGGAGGGGGTAGTGACGGCTCCAGGAGGAGGTCCATCTGGAAGCTGACCCCCAGGCTCCACTTCCCTTCCAGGCCTGCTGCCCAAGCCCTCCCTCCGGGCCCTGCCCAGCTCCCTGGTGCCCCTGGGGAAGCCGGTGACCCTCCGCTGCCAGGGGCCCCCGGGCGTGGACTTGTACCGCCTGGAGCAGGTGGGGTCAAAGTACCACGACCTGGCGGTCCTCTTCATCCCAGCCATGCGGGAGACTGATGCCGGGTGTTACCGCTGCTCTTACCAGAATGGGAGCAGCTGGTCCCCTGCCAGTGACCAGCTGGAGCTGGTCACCACCGGTAAGGGCGGCGGGGTCGGGGGGTGGCCGCAGCGGCTGCAGGGCTGCCTCGTCCTCAGTGTGGGTCCTGGCAGGCAGGGGAGGATGGGGATCGAATGTCCAAAGTCCCAGGCAGCCGGGACCAGGCTGGCCAGTGAGGCCCTGGCCCCTGGCACTCAGTTTAGGGGAGGCGCCCAGAAACTGTACTCAACCTAAGTAACGTGTCAATGTGATCTTTTAGGAAAAAAATCCAAACCACGGCAAAACGTCCTTAATGAGCAAAATATCATAATTTTCATAAGGACAGGACCCTGCGGCACCATCCGAGCCCCGCCTGAGCCTGAGGCACCCCTTCATGCCTGTTCTCTGCATTTTTACTCGTATTTTAACATTTTGATGGCATAAGATGTTCTCAGCTTTAGGTTTTTATTTCTAATGCACTTTGAAATGGTTCCCTTCCTAAGTAGATTCGGAAAATACCTCCCATGGGTCTCCTTCCATGTCAACCAGAAGAATAAAGTTTAATGAATTCTTTTTTTTCTTTTTCAGCATGAATGAAATAGTTCAGCTTGAAATAGTGTTGTGAGTGTTCATAGATTCTTTTTAAAAGTTTCAATATTTCTTTCAACTATGTTGATAGTGTGGAAGAAATTAACCATAGAAATCTAATTGAGCCTTTTGTGTCAGGCTATTTGATGTGGCTCCGCTGGGCTCAGCTGGAGTCTGTCTTTGTTTAAATTCTTGATATTTTGTTCACAGAATGTGTTTGCATTACCTTTGATTTTAAAATTGCACTAAAATATGGTATATCTTAATTAGTGGGTTCTTTTTTTATTTTTTGGTGTGTAGGTGCCCCTTTCAGCTGTGGTCACCGAGTTTCTGGGCGGGGACGGTGGCCCACCAGGCTGTGCGCTTGTCACTCACACGCTATCTTCTCACTGAGTCTTTCCTGAACCACCCTATTTGAAACCTGCACTCAGTTTGACATGGTGTTCCTCACTCTCTGGGGTGACACACGTTTGCTTATGGATTTCAGTCAGTCTGATTTCTCTTCCTAACGGACCTTCACTTCTTAGAACAGAGATGGACACACTGCTTGGGGAAAGAAAACGTTGGCTGAATGAACGAGCCACAGTTCTCAGTCCACTTTTGTCGGTGTGAGCTCTGTGTGCCAGGCAGGGGGGCATTGCCACGCCTGATGATGGAAAACAGTGTCGGACGGCATCGCCGTGCAGGCGCGCGTTTCGTGGGACAGCCTGGGGCCAAACTGTGACTGCAAATTTCAACTCTTGTCACCTATTATTTCATGACTTGGGACAAATTGTTTCGCATGGCATGCCCTCGTCCCACTGATAAGATGAGGATAGTCACAGTGATGTACTCGTGGGTCTCTGTGAGGATTCGGTGCATCGGTATGCGTCGTGAGCTGGGAACAGAGCCTGGGAATCGGCCCTCGCAGACAATCTGACGACTGGCACACAAGCTTAGCGCAATGTGGGCCTCGGCTGCTCTGCTACTACCGCCATAACTCGGGTGCTTGCTGTCTATTAGGCATGCTGCTAAACACTTACTACACATTGTCGCAATCAGACCCATTCTGGAGTGGAGAATACTGAGGAACGGATATGGGGGGAGACTCTTTCCAGGGTCACACAGTCCCCGAGTGGCGGGACAAGTGAATACTGAGGAACGGATATGGGGGGAGACTCTTTCCAGGGTCACACAGTCCCCGAGTGGCGGGACAAGGACTTGAGCTCAGGTGCTCTGCCAGGACCATGCTGTGAGCTGGCAGTGGGGAGTGGTTTCTCTAGGGCGGACACTGTGGAAAGGTCCCCAGCTGTAAGGAGGTGGGGGACCTTCCCACCCACCCCAGCCTGTGTGTTTAATGTAAGTTCCCTTCTCTCCCAGGAGCTTATGACAAGCCCTCGCTCTCCGCCTGGCCCAGCCCCGCGGTGTCCCTGGGAGAGGATGTCACCCTGCACTGCCAGAGTCACTATGGCTTTGACCAGTTTGCTCTGCACAAGGAGGGGGACACTGCGCCCTACAAGGGACCCGAGAGGTGGTACCGGGCTGATTTCCCCATCCTTACGGTGATGGCTGCACACAGTGGGACCTACCGATGTTATGGTTTTTTCAGCAGTCGCCCCTACCTGTGGTCGCCCCCCAGCGACCCCCTGGAGCTCGTGGTCACAGGTAAGGGGCTGCAGACCACCCTTCCCTCCTCCTTCCTCCCAGGCCCCCGCGGGGAGGGGCCGGCGGGCAGGAAGGAGGTGAAGGCAGGGGAAGCCCAGGGCTTTGCAGAGTGTGTCTGTTTCCCGGTGCTGCTCTAACAAATCAGCACAAACTCTTGGCTTGAAACAAACACCACAAACTTACAAGCTTACAGTTCTGGAGGTCAGAGCCCAAAGTAGGTCTCACTGGGGTGAGACGAGGCTCGGCAGGGCTGGCTCCTTCCGGAGGCCCCAGGCAGAACCCGTTCCTGCACCTTTTCCGGCTGCTAGAGGCACCCACATCCCTTGGCCTGCGGTCCCTTCCTCTGTCCTCAAAGCCGGCAGCCGAGCGTCTTCAAATCTCTGTCTCTGACCCGTCTGTCTCCCTGCCTGTCTTCAGCCTGCGAGGACCCTGTGGTGACGTGGGGCCCGTGAATCCACTCACACCTGCCACTGGACAGAGTCCTCACGGTGCTGCCCACTATCCCAGTGGGCTTTTCCTTTCCCTGCAGGCACACCCTGTCCCCAGGGGCTTCACATGCGCTGGGATGGGCGCTTTCTCCAGACAGACCCACGCAGACTCCTCGTTAGGGCGCCTCCTTCGGTCGCATTCCTGACTCTTGGATGCACCCCAGCCACTTCCTCTGCCTAATTTTTCTCCACAGCCCCTACACCCAGTGTGTCCATTCACATCTGGTTTCTTTTCTGCTGTATCCCAGCACCCACAGAAGTTCTTGGCACACGCTGGGTGCCAAAGAAATATTCGCCTGCTTTTATTTTTTTTAAGGGGACAATTTGGGTTTTTTTACGTAAATCCGCAGAGTCGTGTGGTTATTGCCACTATCTAGTTTTAGAACATTCCCACCGCCCTATAAAGGGATTGTCGCCATCAGTCAGGCCCGGAATGTGGCGGGTGTATCTTTTCAGTTGTTATTTAACACCCACGGCAGTCCAGTGCTGTAAGCTTCTTTATATTCATTTTCCAGGTGAGGAAATTGGGCTCCAGAAATGTTTTACTGTTTGCTCAGGACGTACAGCTAACAGAGCGCGGAATTCTCTCCTCTGATTTTCCAGAGATCTCTGTGACCCCCCGCCGGTTACCCCCAGAACCACCTTCCGCTGTGACAGGTAAATTCTGTAGGGTTCTCCCTGGCGTCTGGCGTATAGGCACACGGACTCTCTTTTCTTTCTCCTTTTTATCTAGATGTCTCCATTTAACTCACTGTCTCTTTCACAGACTTGCTTTATTTAAAAAAAATCTCTCATTTCTGCCCGTATTGGGTGGGTGTAACAAGTATTTAGCCGTAACTATGCTGCCTTACACCCTCCCATCCTCCCAGCCTCAGGGGGATGGTTTATAATGCCTCCTGTGAAGAAGAATATCTGTACGGCTGGTAAAGTCTAGGCTCCTGGCCTGTTTTTGAGCCTCAGAGTGGGAGTTAGGTGGAGGGGACCCGGTTCCTGGATGCCCCCTCCCAGCCCCAGCCACACTGGGCTTCTGATTCCATAGGTCTGGGGCGGGGTGGGGAGCCGATAATGTCCATTTCTGACAGGTTCCCAGGCATCCGCAGTGCCGCCAGGCGCGCTGAATTTCACGTGGGCCCCCGTATTCCTGATTTTCAAAGGCATCTCAGCTGATTCTGGCTTTCCGGGTGTCTGCCTGCGCCTTGGGCGGTAGTGTGGGGGCCGGGGTGCCCCCCTCATGTGTTCTTGCTCAGGAAAATCAACAAATTAAAAAAAAACATGTTCGCACAAAACCTGCACAGGCACGTTCACAGCAGCACATTCGCGATAGGCAGAAAGAGGAAGTGAGTTAAGGGCACGCGGGTGGGCGGACCCGGGCCTCGGGGGTCGCCGTGCTCGGGGGGAGGGTGCGGGAGCCCGGCGGCCTCCGGGGGGCACGGAGCGCGGGCACCCCGGGGCCGCCCTGACGCCGCCCGCCCCCCGACCGCCCCGCCCAGGATCCCCAGAGGCCCCGGGAGGCGGCACGTGTCATTCCCGGGCGGAGCCTCCGCAGCCGGCGGGCGGCCGGCGCTGGGGCGCGGCGGGAGGCGGGGCGGCACCGCGTGGGTCTCTCGTCCCGGAGGCCCGGAGGCTATTAACCTGCCTCGTGAAGCCTCCCGGCCTCCCGCAGGAAGGCCCCCGGTTTGAGGGCTGAGAACGGGCTGGACGTGGACTCCGGGCCCGGGGCTGAGCCGCGTTCCAGGGGACGAGGGCGGGGGAGCCTCGGCTGGGCGGGGAGCGGCCGCGGGTCCCGGGGCGCTGCTCCTCTGGCGAGGCTCCGGTTCTGTGCCACGCGCACCCGCCCCGCTGCGTCCAGAGCAGGGGTGCGCCCCCCCTTCCGCTCGCCTTTCCTGGAAAGTCTCCATTTCCCTAGAGACAGGTGCCCTTGGCAGGTGCCCTGAGGAGAAGTTCGGTGTCCCCACAGGGCCCGCCCTGCCCAGCCCCCTCCGGGCTACCTGAGGCCCTGGTGGGGGTCCTCCCACCCTCCGCGCCAACTCCCCCGGGACGCGTCCGGGGCTCTCAGCCTACCCAGCAGGGCTTCTCAGACTCAGTCCTCGTCGGTCAGCCGCTGTCCATCCCTGCGGGCTCGTCCCCGCCCCTCGGGCTGACCTCGGCCCCAGGGGTCCGCAGAGGCCCCAGGACATCCTCTCTTGACTCCCCACCCCCCAGCCCTGGCCCTGACTTGCCTGCCGTTTCCAGTGGCCGGACACCTGGGGGGTCTCAGGACATACCTGTGGCTTGAGAGGAGAGCTAGCATGTACGGGGTGCTTGTTATACGTCAAACCCTGTGCCTTATGCTGTTATTATTGTTACTAGTTTAGTTTTCACATTGACCTACGATATAGATAAGTATTTTCTCTGGACAGATGGGAAAACTGGCTCATAGATGCTAAGTCATTTGCCAGAGGCCCCACTTCTGATTTGTGGTGGATGTGGGGTTCAAGCCTGGACAGCCTGGCTCTGTACTGTAGTTCATGTCCTTCTTACAGCCGGGGGATCCTGACCCCCTAGTGCCTGCAACCAGGGTTGGGGGAGGCACGGAGAAGAGGACATGCTCTAATCCCTTTACACTCACCCTTTTGTGATTTCCAGAGCCTTCTAGGAATACCACCGTCCTTCCCAAGGGGACAGCTTCTCCAGCTGGTGAGTAAGTGGTCCTCTCTGGACCCTCTCCCTTCCCATCCCTGTCTGTTCCTAAAGCTGACTGCTCTCCCGAGACAGAAGCTCCATACCTGCGATCTGGGGTTCAGTGTGTGGAATATTAAGGGGAGGGGAAACAACAGCACGTGGAGCTCAGAGCTGGGTAGTAAGAGCAGGTGGGAATGCTGAGATTTTCTAGAGGCCAGAGAAAGACACGTACCACCCTGTCCCCCACCTTGCAACAGGCCGCAGTTAGCAGAGTGAGCGGGCAGGCCACTGTGTGGGGGGCTGTGTCAGAGGCCTGGGAGGGGTGCACGGCAGGGGTGATATTGTGGAGCCCCGACCCTCGGCGAGGGGGTGAGGGCCCCTCTCTGGAGGAGACTGAACCTAACAGAGCTCAATGGGGTCTCAGGTGAGGGGCTCAGCTGTGAGAAGCCCAGGGGGAGGCCTGGGTCCCGGAGATGGGCTTCTACCCCCTGCTCCGGGCGCTCTCACCCCTCCAGGCCTCGCCCACCAGTACTACACTAAGGGCAACGTGGTCCGGTTATGCCTCGGGGCTGTGGTTCTGCTGCTCCTGGTGGGCCTTCTGGTAGAAGATCGGCACAGCCGACAGAAACGCCGGCCTCTCCGGGTCAGAGCTGTCCACAGGCCGCTCCCACCCCTCCCATAGAGGCTGAAATCCCCCGGGCAGCAGGACAGAGGTCGACCGGATGGTCACAACCCTGCACGCCACCGTTAGAACCCCAGGCTTTGCCATAAGTACGAGATGGGTCACGGGACGGGGAGGGGACGTAAGACCGCGTGTGGGTGTGAGAGCGGGAGGGTGGAGGCCCCAGCCGTGGAGGAGGCGCTGCATCAGGGAGATGCCAAGTCCGCGTCCGGCTTTCCCACCAGGGATGCCCTTTGGGAGGAAGGGGCCTAGTGGGTGCCCGCATGTCCTCCCAGGTCCCTCGCACATTGTGGATCTTACGGCAGCCTACCTGGAAGGTCATACTTAGGTCCTTCTCCAACCTTCTCTGGTAGGGGCTCCAGATGGGCTCTCACAGCTGACCCAGTTCCGTCCACTTCCCCAAGGGCCCCCACACTCTTGTCTGGTTAGCCACAAGCCCCCCCTCACTCTAACTCCACCCTAAGCTGCGCCCTAAGTCTCCTTTGTTATTTCGAATGGGTCTGGAATATAATACCATAGAACAGACATGTCAGTGGCTTCCCTTCATATGAGAAAAAGAATCCAAAGTACTAACCTCGTCCCGATGGCCAGGATAGGCAAGCTGGGGGGGAATAACTCGGTATGGGGTTGCCTTTGGGAAGATTTATCAGGCAGCTACCCGTGCAGGCCAAGAAACAGCAGAACTGGGCAGGGACGGGCAAGGTGGACAGAAATCAGTGCAGTCACGGACGTTTCTGTCCCGCTTTCTCCCCACCCCACTGCCCTGGGCTAAGTTCTCTCCAAATAAAGTATCTTTTCTCTGAGTTTGATCAGAAGCCATTAATAAATGCCACCTCATTCATACATGCTTTTATCTTTATTTCTTTTGATAGTGGAGGCATAGACATTCCATCTGTTTTGCCCAGTGACTCGTGCGTGTTTTATGTAAGCCAGGGGCACAAGCAGGGCTGAAATAATACCCTGCCCAGCGACTCACCCCTCTGACGGTCTCCTGGGTGGCTCACCATCTCCCTGGCAACCCAGGACTTTACTGGGAAACGAATGACCCCGGGGGATTCGGGACATGAAGTCAGAGGGAAGGTCTGCTAAGTTTTGGATTTGGACTATCACTCCCAGCAGTGAGGTGTGGGTGGTTTTGTTTGATTTTCCAGCAGCTCCTGGATTTGAGCATCAGATTCATTTATCTTCAACCTGGGGGTACAATAGAAAAAGAAGCTTCTCGTGGCATCAATGAGATTCATTCCAGACGCCCCAGTGTCTGTGAGTCTCATGCTTTAGGGATTCACAGGGCAGAGCCGTCTTCACTGACTGGTATCCTGCTAGCAGAGTCCCATAGAGACTTGATAGGGCAAAAGAGATACTATCAGGTTAGCGCTGGAAAGCTGCTGGGTGGTTCTAGTCACTTGGAAGTTCTCGGGCAATTATCAGGATGTACACAGGGCGAGAGATGGGACTGACGAACACACCTGTGACGTAGCTCTAATACCTACGTACTCCAAAATCCACTTTGACAACTTCTACTAGGTGGACCCGGATGGGACATCCGTACTTGAACCCATCTGGAGGACCAGCTTTTTATCCCCCTTGTCCACGTGATACAACCTAACGACCACCCCTTATTTGACCTGTGACACGGCAGCCTCAACTCTAGGATTCGCCTTTTGGTGGCCAGATTCAGCCACGTGTATGTAGAAATGGGAAGAGGGGAGTGGGGGTTGGGGATGGTGAGAGGGGACGATTAAAGCAAAAATATGTATACAGATAAGAGAACAAGGAAATCAGCTGCCCTGTTTCTTGTTGTCACTGCAGCCCAGTTTTGCTAACGTACTGATCCACTTTTGTTTTGTTATTCAAGATTCACCATACATCTACGTAACAAACCTTCAGTCACAAGACGGAGAGCTAAGATACAGTGTGGTGACTCCAGTTACCAATACTGTATCTTATACTAGAAACTTGCTAAGGGGGTAGATCTTACGCGTTCTCAGCACAACACACGCCAACGGTAACGTGATGAATGTGTTAGTTAGCTTGCCGGGGTACTCATTTCACACTGTACACATATATCAAAACCGTCATCAAAATGACTTTGGCTGATGTAAGGGCCAACTAGCTTCAACATATTTTAAACATCACCCTCCAGGGTCAAATGAAATTGTGTTTATTCGTGACTGTTGGGGGCTGGTCATGGTCTCTGGTAGAAGAACAAGAATAGTTTCCAAGGTAGACCTGTGTCGGGGGAACTGGGCGTGGGGAGAAGCAGCCCCCGCAGGAGGAGAGGGGGCTGCTCTCGGGATGAGGTGTGGTGGGGCGGCTGTGGGCCTGCCAGTGAGAGGAAGTGGAAAGAGCTCATCAGAAGGGTGCTCGCTGGGCAGAGAGACTCGGAGCACTAAAAGCTGAGCAGGCAGGGCCAGGCGGCCACGCCATTCTAGGGCCTGCGATTCAGGAAGAAGCCCCCACCTTGACTCGCTCGTCTTGACAGTCGGAGACCCAGGAATCCGGGTCTGACTGGCCAGGCCAGACTAACAGCTGCGCCGCTGCTTCCGTGGGCCTTTATTCTTGGCCCATGCTCTGCAGCATTTTCCAAAGTGAGGGGCCAACTGAAAGGAGGCGGCGAGGAGACAGGGGGCCCTCCGTGCCCACACCTCCCTTCTTTCAGCGACCCAGGTTCCCTGAGGCCCGGGAATCATCTTGTTAGGCAGAAAGACAGAATAAAGCCAGTAACGCCCACTAAAAGGCATTCTGAGAGTTAATCAGATAAAACCAGAGAGTGAGAAAGGGCACAGAGTTAATTTTTTAATTCTCTCAAGTTTCTAAGACCAAGAGCAACTTAGAATGTCCAGATATTCCCCAGATAAAGTAGGGTATCCGGGCACAGCCTGTGTCTTCATTATACCAAGTAGATCATGCCATTGGGAAATCTACTTAGCCTCCAAAATGCTCCAGCTTATTCTTTTTTTTATTAAGGTATCATTGATATATATTCTTAATGAAGGTTTCACAAGAAAAACTGTGGTTATTACATTCACCCTTATTATTGAGTCCCCCCCACACCCCACTGCAGTCACTGTCCATCAGCGTAGTAAGATGCCACAGAGTCCCCACTTGTCTTCTCTGAGCTACACTGTCATCCCGTGACCCCGCACACACCATGTGCACCCATCATGATACCCCACAATCCTCATCTCCCTCCTCTCCACCCCTCCCCTTTGGTAACCACTAGTCCCTTCTTGGAGTCTGTGAGTCTGCTGCTATTTTGTTCATTCAGTTTTCCTCCATTGTTATACTCCACAAATGAGGGAAATCATTTGGTATTTGTCTTTCTCTGCCTGACTTATTTCACTGAGCATAATACCCTCCAGCTCCATCTATGTTGTTGCAAATGGTAGGATTTGTTTCTTTCTTACGGCTGAATAATATTCCATTGTATGTATGTACCACATCTTCTTTATCCATTCATCTACTGATGGACACTTAGGTTGCTTCCATTCCTTGGCTATTGTAAATAGTGCTGCAATAAACATAGGGGTACATCTGTCTTTTTGAATCTGAGAAGTTGTTTACTTTGGGTAAATTCCTAGGAGTGGAATTCCCGGGTCAAATGGTATTTCTATTTTTAGTTTTTTGAGGAACCTCCATATTGCTTTCCACAATGGTTGAACCAATTTGCTGTCCCAGCAGCAGTGTAGGAGGGTTCCCCTTTCTTCACATCCTCGCCAGCATTTGCTGCTCCTAGTCTTTTCTGTGCTGACCATCCTAACTGGTGTGAGGTGATAGCTCATTGTGGTTTTTATTTGCATTTCCCTGATAATTAGAGATGAGGGGCATCTTTTCATGTGCCTTGTTGGCCATCTGAATTTCTTCTTTGGAGAACTGTCTGTTCATATCCTCCGCCCATTTTTTAATAGGGTTATTTGCTTTTTGGGTATTGAGGCATATAAGTTCTTTATATATTCTGGATGTTAACCCCTTGTTGGATATGTCGTTTACAAATATACTCTCCCATACTGTAGGGTGCCTTTTTGTTCTGCTGATGGTGTCCTTCACTGTACAGAAGCTTTTGAGCTTGATGTAGACCCATTTGTTCATTTTTTATTTTGTTTCCTTGCCTGAGAAGATAACGTTCAGGAAAAAGTTGCTCATATTTATATTCAAGAGATTTTTGCCTATGTTTTCTTCTAAGAGTTTTATGGTTTCATGACTTACATTGAGGTCTGTTTACTTTTTGTGTGTGGGGTTAGACAATGATCCCGTTTCATTCCCTTGCATGGAGCTGTCCACCTGCCTTTACATTTTTGAACAAAACTTGAAATGTGTGGTTTTCTCTTATTACATTCTCACTGACCCCTCCCCACACCCCAAGATTTTTAATGAGTGGGAGCAGTGAATGGAAATTGAGATTTGTGGGCCATTGGTGTTTGAGTGAAAGATACATGTATTTGGGGAAACAGATCCTGATCTGAAACAACAAGGTAGCAGCACATGTTTCATAGGTAACTGGTATAATTCTGGAATTAAATTTTACAAGTAAATAGTTTTATTTCTTTTTTGCGGTAGCCAGTCTGAAGAATGTGGTATCAGCTTTGTACTCCGCTTACTGACCTGTAAGTAGTAGACTAGTAGACTTTGTATTTGAAAAATACAAGCTTTATTTAAATATTATTAGTATATAGTGAGAGATTGCCTAATAATTGTATAGTAAAGGAAAAGGAATTGAGAAAAAATTTCATACAAAAAGGTCAAAGAAGTCGAATGAAATCCCTTATTTTTCAACTTCAGTTTTTAATCCCCCTCACTATTTATTCCACTTTCGAAACTTGATGTATTTCCTTTTCAATAAACTGAGTTCTCTTAAGTTTCTCTCATTTCCTTTGGTGAAGTAACTTTGTTTTTGTCATTAAACTCTAAAGAAGGGAATGACGGGGAGATGGGTAATTCCGTTCTGCATGTAGGAATGGGTGTTGGGGGCTTCTCAGACCGCCGGCGTGTCTTGAGGTGCGTCTTCAGTGACGTCCAGTATATCACTGAACAGAAAGTCAGCCTTTGTCCTCAGAGAAGAGGCATTAGTTTCCAAGGAGTATTGATTAAGCACCTATTCTAGTAGGTGGGGGCCTGGAACCAATGAAGTCAAACCTCTATTTTCTACCTTAGCCTTCAGGAAGTTCAGAATCGGATTTAGTGTATTATACATAGTAATTGTAGCTTCGTGATTTTGTTCATTTGCTTTTTGCTTCCCTTTATCTCTCAAATTTTCAATTTCTAAATTAACAGCCCCATATTCAGTTCAATCACCAAACATATTCTCTGTGCTAGTCTTAAAGGAAAGGGGGGAAAAAACCCTATAAATCTCAGTCTTGGTGGGTTGAAACCGTGTAAACAAACCCT